TTGTCAAGCACAATCCCCCTTGTGTATGTTATTTTTGTTAGGCACTGATTATGGTAACTGTTTTCTGAGTGTTTGAAATTTTTAATACATGTACATGTCCCACATCTAGTTCAGCTTGTCAGATACTTTGGTACTAGTTCAGTTATTGTGAAGGAATGTTTTATTTGGCTACATTCTCCAGTTGATCTTTGTGGGAGCTAAATCGCTAATATTTGGGACCTAGAAATTGACCGAAATTGGTCGCAACGCATATTATAATGTAATATGAATGTTTATAAACTGATTTACATTCAATCGTTTCCGTTTTTACTCTAATTACAAATCAGTTATGTTTGGCGAAATATGCCATACATGTACGTCTCAATTAAATAGCAATCTCTAGCGTCTGGTTATTCCAGTCTACATCTATAGTATTTATTGCACATGCTCTCCAGATAAGAACATGGCGTCACTGTTTGACATGACTTGTGGAATACATGTATGTCTAGCCTAGTCCTTTGTAATAAATGTCGTACACGATTCGTGTCCCAATGGTAAAATGGTTATTTTGTCTTGAATATTGAATATCAGAAGCCAGTCTTTTCCCGGTAAGATCACAACATCAATTATCAATGTTAATTTAAATTGACAAATAATTTATGTTTTCAATGTCGAAGACTTTGGATGATATTGAGTTAGAGACTTAGCTACTTTAAGATTAAGGATAATTTTTGAAGAATTGTTTGAGCACAGGAACACCACAAGGTGATAGGTCATTTCAAATGTTTTATTCTGTTCAATCTCTAACTTTATATGGTAATCTGAAAATTTAAGATGTTTAAATTAAGAGATCAACTTCTGAAAATCTAATTGGAAATAATTCAGTGAATACTTTTCTGTTATATGTAAAGTTAAAATTATCTAAGCTGATTCCTTCCTCCCAGTATTTATATTCATATAAATGCATATAAACCTTTTAAAGGAACTCAAAAGCAGCCACGAAAGGTTCACTTTAAATCAATTTAATAAGAAGGAATTTTAATTGGTACTTTTACTTACAATTTATACTGACATACATATTGGAACAGTTTCAAATTCTTCACAATCTCAACGGACTTTATTAACAGAATTTCTAAAAACAGAAAAAAATAATGACTGATTAAAAGAATTCCACCCAATTGAAATTTTGATGTAATCAACATGTGGATCAAAATAGTTCCTATCGATTTTTATTGTTCTGTTAAAGATTGTATCATCATTTGACATTTGATTCAGTAAAGTAATTCATACGTAATTGTGTCTGACTTTTAATACACTGGGACCAGTTTATTTTGCCGATGGTCAGCAAAGGAGAGAGAGAGAAATGGGGTTTAATGTCCATTCGACACAAACTAGGTCATTTCGCGACTAATGGTCAGCAAAGGAAGATATTGAGATAAAAAACATTTACAATATATGCCTTAGTTAGAAATGAAAGGACCTAGGAACCTGTGATACTTGCAGTATTATGTGCTGTAGACGATGTTAATAAGAACCAGGTAATACAAATGTAGATAAGTTTATAAACTATTTACTCACATAAATTAAGATGTTAGTCTTCAAATAACCACTTGGTTCAGATGTATTGATGGACAGTGTTATTGGAATATTTTCATGTATCTTTAAAAGTTAAACCATAAAGACCATTTTGTTTGTCTACATGAATGATTATTTGACATTTTGATGTTGCCTTGAAAGAAAACCATGTCATCATTGCATTGTAATGTCATTTAATATAGAAGTTACCATATAGATGTTACCATATACTACTGTTTAATATAGAAGTTACCATGCACTACCGTTTAATATAGATATTACCATGTAATGCTATTTTATCTTGAAGTGTAATTATAGGGGGAATGTTGAAACGTGTGGTATTATTGTGTTAATTACTGATTATTCAGCAGGCTGCAGTCTTATTGAATCATGGTTACCTCAAATTAGATCATTCACTCGATACTGGTAATAGGGGGGTATTGAATTATTAAGGCTGTGTTATACAGTCTTTAGTATTAGACAGATTACACAATATTGTTAGCTCATTATAGTTTGACCTCTATTAAGATAATTTGACCCCTGTATAGATTGATTAGAAGTGAGAGAGCCCATCTTTAACTGCCTATACATGATCAGTAAGCATGTGATATCAAGTTGAGGTTGACTGCATGTAGTCTTATAAATGGAGTAGCTCTTATTTATGGGCCTCAATATCAAGTGAAACCGGGATCATTTGGTCAGACTAACATCTAGACCTACATGGAGTAGCTGTGTCCATACATGTATGTAATACCAGGGTTCAAGGTGGGATGCATTGGTCAGTCTTGCCAGTTACTTGGCCAAACTAACTGGACTCCAACTGGTTTCCATTGACCTAGTAGAACTACCTATCCGTGTATATTATATTAATTCATCCATCGTGTTATTAGTTGGGTCTGTTCTCTGTGGAGAGAGGATATAATACAATATACAATGACCATAGATCTATTTCCCGGTACCAGCGACGTCTGCAACCCTTGTTCACTTTTTAACATGATCACTGGTTAGTTATTTATATATTTTACTCTTTAAGTTTATCAAAACATTATGTGCTGATTATTCATTCATTATTTTAAGATTTATTGTCCATTTAACTGTATACTGTTCCCCTCTCATATTTACACACTTGCTTGCTAAATGTAGACCATAATGAACACTCCAGTCATGTGGATATGAAAAGATCTCGGCACAGTTGCTAACCCTATTTAGTGTTACTGTACCTAGTAAACTGATCCATGTATGAATTACGTTCTTCAGAATATGAACTAAAATTCGAAATGTTTTTGTCAATCTATATGGTTTCATTATAAGAACAAGGGTCACTGTTTTCCTAATTATGTTTTCATTGAATGTTGTGATTGTACATAGTATATATATCTCATTCCTTCTATCTGTATCAGTATTGTGCTTGAAAACGACAAGAGAATCATTGTTGAAACGTAGCTTTAATAGAAATATAGTAATTGTTATCCATATAACTTTGTGTTTATTTTTTAATGTGCTCAATTACTAAATGCCATTCAAACAGTAGATAATTCACCTGGTCAGAAAGTTGTCCCCACAGTCCTTGCTGATGTCAATTGTACTTTTGCAAAAGTATCTGTCTGTTCACAGGATGTTTAATATGGATCGAGGACAATATTTTTATGCTATTTTGGGTGAAGATTTGCTTAATAGAATGTAACTATTATCAAGATCCTCAAATCAAAGAAGTTGTTTTTCTGAAATGCAAAGTAAAATTGGTAGAAATAGAACCTCGCGTTAAGATATATTTAATACAACACAGATGCCAATTATTGAGCGTCATGCGATTTCCTACAGGAAAAAGGTGTATGTATTTATTGAATTATAGGTTAGTGAAGCAATGCTTACCAGTAGTTCATTACAACAATATGTTGATATTCTGCCAATTATTGATGTACTGAATATTCATTATTATACTGCAGTTCTGTTTTCTATTGATTTCCCCCAGATTAAATATACAGTTGGTTGTATAATATAACATCCTGATAGTTGTTACTTATAGTAGTGAAACATTTAGTGAATATTGTGAAATGACCAGATTTTTTTATATTCAACTTAAAGACTTGATAGATTCATGTATCTACATATATCGCTTAAACTTAAAGTAGTTAGATCAGCTTATTCAATTAATAATTAATATACCTCAGTCCTGTAATTATAGATTGATTCATTTGCCACATTACATTACAATACTGGCAACATTCTGTGAACATTCCATTACCAATAGTTTTACTTTAATTGAATCGGTCAAAAATAAAGATTCAATAAAAATTTGATGAGAGCATAAATTGTTTTATTTCACTTCTTGAAGTCCATAATTTTCTCTATTTTTAATTGAATAACCATCATGGTGTTTTGTACATGTAGGTCTAACATTCACATTAGTACACAGTGTATATATATAAACCTATATATGAATGTCCTTTCATGTTATACTTATATATCTGTCAATGTGACCCACTTGTGTATCATAATTTACATAATGTGAAGGTGGAAGAAAAGTAAAGGTTATGCAAAATAAATCGACATACATTTAAAATAGGCATTTGTCAGCTGTATAATGACAATATGTAGCATGCTGGTATCATGATCTGGGAGGGAGGGGGGCTTAAGGGCTACATAAATTATATAAGACACTTGGAAGTTTTTGTGATCAATCCCTGTCCTCCTGGTTGTTGACAACACACTGTGCAGCATATATATATATATATATATATATAACCATATAAAAATCATTTCTTTTTCAAAGTCTTTCTTTTCTGAATACAATACTTCTCTAAAACCAAGATCTGTTCTCAGTGTTAAAACAAAATATATTTGACATGAAAAAATTAAAGATGCATTCCATCTCTATTATTAATAGTCTACATGGTTCACCTTGGTTCACAATGACCTTCACTTGTCCTGCAACCAAATCCATAATTGAATATACTGTAAGATATGGTTGTGTCAACATGACTATTCATTCTACTAATTTTAAATTGCTGACTACATGTACCACAGTACATACTGGTATATTATTATATTAAAATTGCTTCATGAATTTGAATGTCAGAATATGTGTCAACAGATTATGTTGAAAATGATTAAGTTTTTATGCAATATAATTATAAATCTGTACATTTATTCATACATAAAAATGTAATTTTTGCAGCAGTTTTAGATATAATAGGTCAGACTTATAATATTATAATGAGCATCATATTGCATGGATGAAAATAAATGCTTTCTGGAAAACAAATCTACAATGTGCAAAATGTTTATAGGCTTCTAAGAAATTCATTAGAAATACTTGACTTAAACCTATGTGCCTAAAGTTTCGAAATCAATTAAACAAAACAATACCAGGCATACAATTCAACAATGCGTTGAATAAATATGGTTAAATAATTCTATTTAAAGCTTTTATTTTGTTTTTTCAGGGGAGAACATTCACCTAAAGATATTAGTGCCCAGTATAGCCGCAGGTGCTATTATCGGCAAAGGTGGAGAAACCATCGCACAAGTTCAAAAAGAAGCAGGCGCTAGAGTTAAAATGTCAAAAGCCAATGATTTCTACCCAGGTTTGTATTGTGTTTCTACTGATGTACATGTTTTATACAGACTTATTTATTGGTGTTTTTCCTCTGCCTGAGCTTTTGTTTGTGGGAGAAAATGGACTAGACCTTTATTGGTATAGTTAAATAATACAACAAAATTAAAGTATGATAAATAGTATTATCATCAGTGCATACATCTTACATAATAATTAATATTTGAATTTTCTTCCCTGCTTTTCCAGCAAAACCCAGTAATGTCACCCCACCTATAAAATTGCATTCCATCTTAACCTGTACAGTTAGCGCACATATTTTGCACATAGAGGTCCATCTGCTTCATACTTCGAGAATAGATGCCTGCCCTAAATGATAAATGGCCGCCATATCCCAAAATTAGTATACTGTTTTGTAATGTAGTTCTATTCCGTTTCATATCTGTCATACACACAAACACTAAATAAACTTTTTCAATTTTATTAAATGGAAGCAGAATAAATACTTAACAAAATTTGAATATGGTTAGCACACTGTGTAATTTCACTAGATAATAATAAAGCTGTTTTGAGCCATGCTATACCCCCCCCCCCTTCCCCCCTGGTGATCCGGATACTACCTTGTTTGAAAAACTACTTTACCTGTTGGAAATCTTCTCTACCATTTTGTACAGATAAAATCAAATGAGTTATTAGTGCTGTGTTGACAAATTTTATGATATTGATTACCAACTCACAAAGTCACATATAATAAGAAACAGCTTGAAGCCTTAGTAATAGTTTCTGTGTTCTTCAAAACTTACATCGTTCGTGTCCAATATGTTAAAAGATTAACTTTATTTAAATCTATAATCTGGACATAACTAATATTTTGGATTGGAACAACTATTCTACAATGATGTAAGATAAAAATGACTTGTATTGTTTTTGAAATATTCTCACTTGAGAAGCATATATTTCAAAGCACCGAACAAGAGTTATTAATATTTAATTGACTTAATATTTTTCAGGTACAACAGAAAGAGTCTGCCTCATTATGGGCCCAGTTGAAGCCGTTCAAAAAGTCCACAATTTTATCATGGATAAAATAAAAGAAAAACCTGACCCAAATCCTAAACTAGACGATACCAAATCGAACTTTGAGAGGCATAGACAAGTAAGTGTAAGTCAAATATCGAAGCCAGCAGACACGATGTGAATGTACGAAACATGGAGGGGTATAGAAAATAAAACAAAACATTAAAATGATTGGATATAAATTCTGGTGTAGCACCGTGTAGCCAGTTAATTAAATGGTTTGCAAAAATTAAAATATGCTTGAAAGACAAAAGATGAATGAAATAACCATGAGAAATGTTTTGGTCATGATTGCGTATTGGTTGATGTTTTTATTATATAATTATTTCATCATTCATCATCATTCATTGTCATATCATAAACTTGAGTTCCTAAACAAATCATAATCTTCTGGGTTAATGGGGCTTTCATCTTGATTTTTAAAATTTCTCTTGCCATGAGCAATATTAATAAATGAAAAAAATATATGGTAAAGTGTTACATCTTTGGATTTAATTTTTTGGGTCATAAGACTAATAGACTATTATTTAATTATGAGATATTGGTTTACCCTGATGTTTTGTAGATATCACTACATGTCTGTATGCTGAAACTAACAAGTATTCACAAAAGCTATGTGTTACTTTGTTTTTCTTTTATAATATCTTATTCTATATAATATAAAAAAATTTTTATCAAATAATCTTTCTTTAATAATATGTTGTTCCTACTACAAGCAACAGATTTTTATAATTCAAGAATTGTTTTATTGATTCATTTTATAACACTTGTGTCCTTGTTCATGTGACCATTAGTCATCCACAAGTCACTAACATCACAATTCATTAATCTTATTGAATTAAAAATATTTTGATATAAATTATGGATGTTTACAAAGAGAGAGTATGTATTGTGTTCAAGAGGGAAAATGGACACCATTTGCATCTTTGAAAAGTTGATATATGATCTAAATGAAAAAGAAAGCTTGTCATTGACACCAAGTTTATTTCCTTTCCTGAGCCTCATTCATATCTGTTGATGCTTTGCCACATGCTTTAGTAGTTAGCAAGATATATTTAAGCACTTTAAAAATATGTTTTGGTAAATTGGTGCATTCTTGCCATAGAAGTGTTCAAGTCTGTGATCCATAATCCCAGTTGCATGCTTGTTGAACCATTCTTGAATTGGAAAAAGGCATTTTATATAATGTTCTATTTCTTGTCTGTTACCTATCTATATGGTGTTGACATTAGGTCTATGTTATATCGCTATATTTTCCAGGTAAAAATTTTAGTACCTAACAGTACAGCTGGTATGATTATAGGAAAGGGAGGTAATTATATAAAACAAATTAAAGAAGAAAGTGGAGCCTATATACAGATATCTCAAAAGTCCAAAGAAACAAATTTACCTGAACGCTGTGTTACTATAGCCTGTGAAAAGAATATGCAATGTAAGTATAAATTTGTGATATATTTTTTTTCTATTTAGCCAGATTTTTTAAAGATATCTACAAATTGTTATTAATTCATGAATTGATTCTCATTCTCAAAAGCCCCCCCCCCCCCCCCCCTAATCTTTTGTTTGATCAATATTTTTTGATGTACTCTTAGTTTCACTAAACTAGTCTCAACTTCCTTCATGAGTCTCGAATGATTAACTCACTCCGTTTAAATAAATAAGTAAAATACACTATGTTGTACTATAGGGTAATCTTTTTTATTTTATGATCAGTAGTGGAATACCGTGTTTTATCAGTGAAATAAAAGTGTTATTCCACTGGCTAGTTGTTTTTACCTACAATGATTGTAAAATAATAAAATAAATAGAACATTTGTCGTTTTGTCGTGAATAACATATTTTATTTCATCTCTAAGCAAGAAAACGTTTATATTTTCACGAATGCTACGCATTCGTGAAAATATAACTTTTCTTGCTTCTCGATGAAATAAAATATGTTATTCACTCTAAAACGACAAATATCCTCTATATATTGGGTGTGTCCAATAATAATCTGCTTGGTATATTAGTAATCAGTATATCGAGGTGTAATTCCATTCACATTTCAATACTATTTATTCAAATATAGCTAGTTGATCATTAAAGTGGGTCAGTATTGTTTACCAAATTTTACATAGCTGCACAAATTTATTAAGTTAATAAATTAATAATATCGGATTGTGTTCTTTACTGCCAATGTGCATCCATACCTAATTTGTATACAATTCTCATCAAGAAGTATCTGCTGGTGGTAGCAACAAATCTGTAGTTTAAGTAGAGTAGTCTCCCCTTATAAACTAAGTGACCTTGGTAAAGGTTATTGCATCATCATGTGATTGCAGCATGACATAAATTATCATATTTAAATAAACACAAGTTTATGGAATTTCAAAGGCCCACATACTGAAATCCTAATTCTATATCAAAAAATTGTCACTTTAACTGTTTATTTCTGAACACCAGGGTAAATGACCAAATGTGAATCTAATTTTGTGTTGGGAAAATTCTAAGCTCTTACATAGATTACCATAGCTATATATACTCCTCAAAAAAAGTAGGGGATATTCAGAAACAATACTAAACAGCGGAAATGCACTGCTGTTTTTATTAGAGGTAAACAGTGTATGTTAATAACAGGCCAATTGCCTACACATGAACATAAACAGTTCATATGGGTGGCTTATCTGGCAGACCCATTTCACTCGCAAAGAGATACATTGTCAAAAGTGAAAATGGACGTTTTTGATTTTTGTCTTAATGAGTAATTGCTCCAGACATTCAGCAATTCGTCGTGGCATGCTCCTAATCAACCGTTCAATCACAATTTGGGGCAATCTTACCCACTCCTCTTGCAGTGCCACGGCCAATTCTTGCAGTGTTGTCGGTTGACGTCGACGAACACTCTCTCGATCATGTCCCAGACATGCCCTATAGGGGAAAGGTCAGGACTCATGGCTGGGCAAGGCATATGGACAATATGCACGAAACAGGCATTATCATCTTGAAAGAATAAACGTTGAGCAAAGGGCAGAACTATCGGTGCCAGGGTGTGGTCACGGTAGTACACACCAGTGACCCTTCCTTGAACAATACGCAAGTCCGTTCTGCCAGTCATGGTGATTCCTCCCCACACCATAACAGACCCATGCCCGAATCTGTCACGCTGTCTGATTTTAACATTAGCATGACACTCACTTAACACGCCTCCAAACGCGAGCATGCCTATCGGTGAAATCCAGACTAACACATTAAGCATGTTGGCTACTGCTCGCTGTGTAGAACCCATTTGAAGCATGCCAATAGCACGTAGACGTTCATCATGTTGAAGACGTCTCATTGCAAATTAAACGTAACACACTAAAGCAAAGATATGCTAAACAGTAAATCTTTTGCAAGAACAGATAGGAAAGCAAACATGGATAGGATAAACCAGCATGCGACAGTTTTCATCAACCCTTCTTGAAGAGTCAAATTTGAAAATGAACCCTCTCACATGTATGCCGCTATTGTGTGTCGCAGGTCCAGCTCAGTGGTTCTGTTGGGGCGATAAGTTCTTCATCTGTGAACATACTCTCAAAGCATGTTAAGTGTCCATGATTATTTATCATATCACAACCTGCATAGGTATTTGTATTTCAATATCCCCTACTTTTTTTGAAGAGTATATTACGTGTAACTGGTATATGCATCATACTGCCCAATAAAAGAAACATAGTCTCTACAAAAGGTACATGTAGATGACATAAATATATATGCACATGTGAGGACAATGTTTTATCTAATGTGTAAATTTGATCATAAGGAAATATTTTGTTTGTTTTAGGTGATTCAGATGCTGATAGAAAAGCTGTGGATATGATTTTACAGAAAATAGTTGAAGATCCACAAAGTGGATCTTGTCCTAATATAAGCTATGCAGATGTAACCGGTCCGGTTGCTAGTGCCAATCCTACGGGCTCACCTTTCGCAAACACAACTTTCCTACAGAATCGTACATCAGATATTGCCATCAACAACAATAACTTCGCTGGAGGTGGATTCGGCTTCGGATTCAACAACGGAAACACATTTAATAGCAATGTTGCTAGTGGTCTTAATTTTAACGTGAATACTGGATCTACTAATACCATGTCTGGACAAGCGCTAGATAATTTAAAAGTTACTCTACGTAACAGTGGATTTACAGATCAGGCTACAGAAGAAATTAGTGCCGCTATGAACACTTTAGCTAATTATGGTATTCTTGGAATGGGACTCGGGATGGGAAATGTTGCTACTGCCAGTTTAGGGCCGGCTCCTGCTTTAGGTAGTTTGAGTTTAGGTGCGCCAACGATGGGCGTTAACAGTATGATGACCTCTGCCACGACCCCTACTAGCACTGTATCAAACGCGTTTCTTAACACAAGTAACAGTTCGACTGGGGCTTCCAGTTTGTTTGGTCCAGTTGGCAGTGGATCTGGTTTAGGCAGTTCAGGATCAACTGGAGCTAACTCGAGTCTGTTTGGAAGTTCTTCTCCAAGTATCGGAACCGAAAGATATGGAAGCAGTCCAATGTTGAGTGATTCTTTTACTAGTCCAGGCAACTACCAAGCGTCGGCTGCCTTCCCTACCACTGATAGATCCCCTAACGTGAATCAAAATTCATTTGGATTAGGTACAGCCATTTACAGCCCCACAGAAGATAAAGGTGGAGTAGCAGGTACTACAAAACAAGAATTAGAAGTTCCAGAGAGTATAGTAGGCGCAATATTAGGTCCAGGAGGAAAGGGTATTGTGGAAATTCAACAGTATACCGGTACAAATATTCAAATTTCAAAGAAAGGAGTTTATTCGCCTGGAACCCGAAATAGGCTCGTTTCAGTAACTGGAACAGCGGCAAATATTAGTAAAGCTAATTTCATGATCCAACAGCGTATTCAACAAGAAGAATACAAACGAGCCCGACAAGCCTCTGTACGCTAATGTTGTGATTCTACCATAGTTTATTATAATTATTAAAATATCACTATCACACTGGACAGTATATATATATATATATAATATCGCCTTTTTAAGTTTTATCTTTCAATAATCAGTGGCATAATGGACTATCGGTGATTTGCATATAAAAGCGATTGAGTGATTCCCTATCACGTTAATATAAAACTTTGCATGTTTTCATATAACATTTGACTTCTACCTTTCCTGATTGGTCAGAAACATCGACGAACTATTTTTATTTTCAACTACATTAGTCTTTGCTGTAAATACCCATAATTCCTTCAGATCTCAGACAGACAGCCATTATTATTACATTGTGAAGTTTGCGCTAAAATCAACTATAGAACCGAGTGCAAAAAAAAAACCAAAACATTAACAGACTTACAAAATTACTTTCATTTCATCATCAGTTTTTATCAAGCAATGCAAGTCGACGATTTTTATGGCAGAGTTATCTACCCAGCTGCTCAAAACGCCATTTTTTTATGCCAGTTTTTCTAAGGATTTAGAATAAAAGGTAGTCTTTCATCTTCTGAAGAAAACACCCATCATCGTCAAACTGACACTTTATACCGGTAGATCGTTATCGTAAAGTTACTGGTGTTTCCCAGCTGGGTCTTTCCAAGAAGAATTCTAGATAATTATATAAATATTACTGATAGACTATATCATATTATTACATTTGTATCATGCAACAGAATTTGTATTATATATATATATATATATATTATATATATCTTATATTATTGTAATGTTGTGTATACCTATTATTACCGGGTTTAATTAATGACTTGATGTAAAAAGCTACTTGTTTTTAGTCTCCGTTAATTTTGTTATATTATTATTTAACTCGACTTTGTTAACCACTGGTACGAACTTTCATGTGTAAGATTGAATACAATCACTTCTTAATTATTATTATTCAAACAATAGACAAATTCATATTTATTTTGAACCATATAAGAGTAAAGAGCTGTCATTTTTATTATTATAATGTAATTATTATTATTATTATTAATAGCATGGTTTCATATTTTTTCATGTGTGTGCGTGTGTTTACTCCAACTGAACGGGTATCTCTCTTCTCTTTCTATCTTTCTTTCACTTCTGCTATTCTCAATCCTTTTTTAGTCAAAATCTTTTTGTTGATTGTTGCCTTGTTAGTTATCGTGTCAGTTGGATTTTGTTGGATGTTTTATTTTGTATTTTTTTGTGGATTTGGGTAATATTCAAAAACACAAAAGGTTTTTCATGAAGAATTGAAAGATGATTATAATTATAAATAAGTAATTTATTTTAGATACATATATATTATTAGAGAACATTGTTCCATAGAATAATTCATGTTTCTCCATTCTGTGAACATCAGTCTTTTGTTATGGCGATCATTTTCTTTAAAAAATGTAGCTGCCAATTATTTATTTATTTTTTAGATAAAGTTTCTTTCATATTGTCTAATTATCATTGTGGTTCATTTCTTTTCTGTGAAGATATTAAATTTTTAATATAATGAAATTGGAAAGTTTAAATTAAACCAAAGGTTTTTTTTGTCCTATGATTAGCTATTAATTTACTTGTTTGGTGGAGGGACAAAAGCGTTTTGATGAAATTTGTTAATTGTGCACATTATTTTATCTTGAAACGACTCCAGATGAATTGGATTTTCATCTCAGATGAACTTTATTCACGTTGATATGTAGGCGTACATAAGTAATGTATGCTACATGCATTTTGATTGGATTTTAAGAGACAAAGTATGTCTTTTTAGCTTAGAAGACAAGAAAACAACAAGCATCTTGATTTGTTAATTTTACACAATGTAATTAATTACAAAGGGAATTTTTAGGAAGTCAAGAATAATTTGACTGCTGTAAAGCGAAAACGTAAGGGAATGCAAAACAATGTATTCTAATTTTATCTTATCAAAAAAAACAAAAAAAAATTATTGCATTGAATTAAATTTGATCTATTATTATAACAATAATTATTGATGCTTTTCGATTCTGTATAAATGTGGGTGATGTGATCCCCATTTATTTTAAGTTTGCTTTCCTGTTTGTTAATTCTTTTCTCATGTTTTTGTTTTTCTCTTGGGGATTGTCATCCCTGCCTTCTCTTATTCTAGTCTTGATCTTGTTAGTCTTTTTTCTATCTCTATCTGTGCATGTTGCGATTGTCATATATCTTCAAATCACGTTAAAAAGCATTTTTTATAAATATTTTTCCTCCTGTCATTTTAACGTTTTGTCAACAAACCATACATACATTGTACCTACATTAGCTTCATCAGATCTGGACTTGTCACAGCCCGTTTGTCTTTCTATGATAATGTATGCCTCATTTTGCCATGAGGGGTACATGTGCCAGAGGTGAATTAACTCCCTTTGGCGTAACTTCTGGGCTTTCTGGATGTGGTCTGATAAATAAGATATGAAGAGTACATAATTAATTTTATCTTGAATGGATAAAAAAAAACATGGAATGAGTGGTTCAGATACAGATAAAAATGAAATCAACAAACTTAGAAAATATTTGCAGTTTTCTCGACTTTAAATTTGTAAGTGTACATGTATATAGATTAATAAAGTTATTTAACATAGAAGCATGTGATTACATTAAACTTGATATTCATGGTGCAGGGCATAATGTTGGATTAATTCATTATACAGTGTATTGGAGTATGTGTATCACTACTACTGTTGGATTATTTAATATGTGAGACTGGTAGAACCAGACTTTATTGGATACTGCATGACTGGTAGACCCAGACTTGTTTTGTTAGCAGGGATGTGATGAAATTAGAAAAAATTGCTGTTGTGTATGTTAAATAGGTGATAAATTTATGTACTGCGTCAGGATATTCAATTGTCATTTGAAACAAGACTTGTTTTAAAAAATCAACTTTTACCTTGATTAAAAATATAAATTTTCACTTTGTTGGATATTTTAACTCAAAAATGGAGTTATCGCTTATTTTTAATTGAGGATAAAAATGGAGCCAATAATTGATGATGGTATCGTTTCTCCAGTCTTTCTAGTGATTAAAGTAGTTCCATTACCTACGATTGTGTAAGAAAGTTTGGACAGTCAATCAGAATGAACAGTTGGTCAGTTTTAAGGAAAGGAATATTTGAAGCCCATTGTCAAAACACTAGTAAAAAGTTTTTTCTAGATATATTGAAACATCCTTCCTCGTGATCTGTGATATATTACCCTCGTTTATTCTGTTAACAAAACCTATTATTGAATTTTTGCATAAATAATTGTAAGAAATATTGCAGCATTGCCTGAATAAATAAATAAATGGATTGATTAATTTAGTAAATTTTATTTTAATTTGATAACTGTTATAATGCTGACCTCTCAAGCGCAGTGCACATTGAGTCTAACTACATTATCTATATAGATTCTGTACTAAATACACGGATAATGAAATGTATTGCTGAGCTTTAGACATGAGGGATGCTCATATTCGTTGAATTTGTGGTCAGAATTTTGTAGTTTTAGAAACTTTATTTAATAATTTAAATTGTTTAATTAACTTGGTATTTTGTTTTAGAAGAGAGAAGGTAATGATTAAAGAGACAATCCGTTTAATACAATGTACTATAATGTTTTTGTACTGTTTGTGTTTTGCCTTGTTGACTAATAAAACAATTGTGAAAGTCACTTTAATGTTAGATAGGTTAAAAACTTTTTCCTCACCGCGCAGAAAGTTAAAAGAATATTGTAAAAAAAAAAAAGAAAAAAAAAAAGAAAGGGGGGATAAAATCAAAATTTAAGAAAATTATCCTATGTGTTTATTTAAATGTATGTATATATATATAAATATATATACATATATAATATAAAGTTTGTAAAGGTACAAGATATGTAAATTGTGTTATTTCCTTTTAAAATAACCTGATAAAAAATTTGATATGACACTGAAAAGAAAAACAAACTATTTGAAGTAAATGTACAATTTTTGCCATTAAATTAATTTAAATATTGAAATACTGTGTGCAAATTTGGCATTAAAAAATCATTGATTCACAATCTTGAGTTGATAATAGATACAGATTAATCTAATATACATAAATGGCATATTCATTTAGAAAACTTTTAGCAGACAAAGTAGGGAAGCACATATATTCAGAAGAAACAGATTTTGAAATACCAATTTCAACAGGTAGTTACACTTATAGCACCTAAAAAATGTCTTTTTTATAGAATAATGAAATATTCTTCAACATTACATTTTATATTAACATATAATGAATATGTACGTTTGTTTGCACATTATGAATCTAGAGTATCATAATATTATAATACTGTTGGTTTTTTTATATACGGTTGAGGTTAAACATATTGTCATAATATTCTTTCACAAACAAGCAAAACCTAAATAGATATAGCATAAATGTTATTGTCTACAGTAACCTTTGTATGATGTTCCGGCAAGGGTTGTTGGGAAGATTGAGAAAACCATTATCTTAATCTTTCCAAGGCATAGCACCGGGTGCAAAGCATGGGTTACTGACGACACAATAAAATATTAATAATTAATTAAATTCAATGTAAGATGTCTTATTTGTATCTTTTATTTAAAAAAAAGATTTCATCCTAATCTATCCGAGATGTACTTGTGTTTGTTTTTTTTTAGATGGCTGACAGTACATTCTGTTTTGAGGGGTGTGTATGTTGTTATATAGAGACAGGTACTTGCTGCTTTGTTATAAAATTTGTTAATTTATGAATAAAAAAGGCCACATTTTATTGTAACTTATATTATATTATAAGCATCTCTTGTCTTCAATTACAATTTAATATTCAGTCCAACTAATTGTTTTTTTGAACAAAACATTTCAGTCAAAGAAGAATTAGAATTTTGAAATTCTCCATACTTTTCTAAATTATGAAGTTTGACAGCAGTATATTAAGAATTAAATACTGATTTCTTTCTTCCAGTCTTTTTGTACTTTCCAATTGAATTTGAAGAATGTGTGGAGAAAAAAAAACATTAAATAATAAATTGCAATGAGATTAGAGATTTGATGAGCAAGGGAATGTTTAGTGAGAGACCCGTTTAGTGTATTTGAATAGAATTGAATGGTTGGACAAGAGATAGTTTATTGGGCCGTTGTTTATAATTTTAGTGACTTTCTATAGAGAACAGATATCCATATAAAATATACTGTCAAGCATCATTAAACTTGTATATTGCATATTATCATCACGTTATACATAGTCTGTTAATATAATTATTATAATTCAGTGATTAGTCAGTGCATGTAATGTATGATTCGATGAATTAAAACATCGTCTTTTAATGATTTTATTTTTGAGCGAAAATGGTATTGTTTCTTATTTATTTTTAGTAGATTCATCGAGGACTATGTATTGCTTGCTATGGATTAGTGTTTATTGTATCATTATTATCATTGTATCATCAATCTTTATCTTACTAACATCCAAGGGTGGATTGGAGTTACATTGGGCTGGTGGGCAACATCATAACTTGGTACCCACTGGGTCCTGATCTGCATCACCATCACCCCCAATGTAACCCTGTAATGTCCCTCTTTAACATTTTAATAGGAAATTTGTTCTCCTGTTTTAACAACAAGTCACCAGCTTCTTGTGATAATAAAACGTTGATTAGCAAGTACCCCTCTCTATAAACCGTAATTATATGCAGTTCCAAGTAAGTTAATAAAGCTGAATTAAGCGTTTATTTGTATTTTGTTTGACTTATAAACCAGGATCAATTTACTGAGTTGTGTGTACAGCAAGAGTGCTTTGTCGGTCTCCCATAGCTTTAAAAATGACGAAAAGAAAGGTAGTCTTTCTGCCTATGTAAGTGATATATATTGAAAAATATATATCGGAAATGATAATATATTTATGAGAATAGTAAGTCGATTATCTTTCACCTATCAACAGGGTTGATGCCCCTTTTCTCCAATATCTTGACCACACCTATATAATCAGCGCTAATCTTTCTGGTATCTTCAGAGCAACACCCATGCCCCCTCCCCCCCTTCTGGAATCTCCTTGTGCTTCGTGTGATATCCAATATTCTTTATCCTATACACCCTTCCATCATCCAGTCCCCAAAATTCTGCCATTGCCACACTCCAGGATAATGTCTGATCTTGTTTGCAACGCCGCATAATAATTGCCCCTCAAATATGTCAAATAACTTGTGAGTGAGCCTCAAGGATCACCCAAAATCTCGGCTATCCCAAGTGTAACAAGTCACTATAGTATTTGTGGCACGCCTAAAAAAGTCCTCCGTACTGGCGACTACTGTACTCTAGGACGATATTCCACAAAAATAACATCTACAGCATAGGATCAACTTAGAAATATCCTTATAAACACCCAGATATTGTCATCGCATAATTTTGTATCTGCCCAATCCTCAGTGTGATGCCCCAACCCCACAGTTGAACTGTAGCATCGGTCCGTCCCTCTGCCCCAGTCCCCAAGTTAATCCGACTAAAATCGCATAATCCTACCATCCCAATAATATAGCTTCACGCCATAGAACCACTATTGCCCAGACCCGCACCCCCAACAAAAATGTACGTCCCACATCACTGAATACCAAAGTATTAATAAAGATCTTTATTATTTCGTAAAGAAAAATTCTGACAATATTTTCACAATGGACAGTGTATTTTTGGATAATATCTCGTCATCATTCAAGTTTCAAGTTTTTATTCATCGTCGCTGGAATCGTTACCCTTCAGTAAAAACTCATCCAATTCTGGATCTTGTCGGATTGCCTTGATCACATGCTTGGGTCTGATTTTGTTTCCATAGCGAACCCTTGTGGCGGACAAATCTAGAATTTCTGCCATGATATATTCCAGAACTCCCGCTAAATAAATTACTGCTCCGTCACTGACAGGTTTTCCAGTGGAACGCCACACTCGGCGCTTAACAGCATCGGGCTCTACGATCAATGGCTTTTCCGACATTTGGATTTTCTCCTGTGCCATATTTATAAAGGCTGGCAATTCGTCCTGAAACAAATGCAATGGATCCTAGTTTATTAATCATTGTCAAGGCTACAGCTTACATCCCAATGATAAGATTTCAGTCACATTTCTGTACTAATCCCTCCAGGGATGGGCAAATTAAAGTCTACGATCAATGGCTTTTCCGACATTTGAAGTTTCTCCTGTTCCAAATTTATAAAAGCTGGCATTTCGTCCTGAAACAAATGCAATGGATCCTAGTTTATTAATCATTGTCAAGGCCACGGCTTAGATCCCAATAAGATTTCAGCCTCATTTCTGTACTAACCCACCAGGAATGGGTCTTATCATCGTGATCTAAGCTGTTGCCTTGACAATGATTAATAAACTCGGAGCCTTTATAAATTTGGTACAAGGCTGACATCTTAGAGAGGGGTTCAATAGTCCGCGGGTGCACATACTATAAATATGGGTATCAAAAAACAACAATAGGTATGGTGGCTGATTGGTATCATGTCGTGATGTCACCCTTTATAACCCGACATCACAACATTTTAACCCGACGATACGACATTTTTACCAGACACCACGACATTAAAAATATCGTAATGTCGTGTAAAAATGTCGTATTGTCTTGTTAAAATGTCGTGATGTCGGCCATCTTCCCCTCAATATACAGTTTCATTATGTACACTGATCCTGGTCTTGGTCAAGTAAGTTCCCGTGGATTTTGCAGCGTCCATGGTTTCTCCCTTTCTGTAGTGCAGGACGAAGAGCCTGACAAAGAACAGTGTCAAGTTGTGTAGATGGGATAAAAGCACAAGCCCCTGTGTACACATTGCCGTGGACATAAAAGAACCTTTCACAGTTGGAATTCGATGGAGAAATGCCACTGTCCCTAGAAAATTTCTTTCATAGCACTCTGCATAGCGTATGCTTATCTCCAATAGTCCGAATGGCGCAGAAAAGTAGGAAACGTAAATGGAAATGAAATAGGGTTTAACGTCCCACTGTTCTGCTCTGAGTGGACTAATGAAGACGGGCATACTATGGGAGAAACTTTGCTCGGATAGCGGCGCTACCAGCCTACTATTGCATATTGAATTCAACCAACTCTTGGAAAAATGATTACATACCATTGTCAGGGTTGGTGCATTATATTGCATTGTCGGGTTGGTGTATGACATTTCATTGTCTATTGCTGTTGGTGCTTCACATTTCATTGTCATGGTGGGTACGTTAGTATTATAGTCAAGTGTTCGTTACGGGTGTACATTTACATGTGATCATCAATCGTAAAAATGGCAATAATAGATATTGGCGGACTGGTGCACCCGCGGACTAGTGAGCATTCCCTAATTAGATGTATAATCTTCTGGACGTTCCTGGTCGTCCTTATTAAATTGCAATATGAAAATATCGCCCTATACCGCCACCCCTGTTCTAAGGCTATTTTGCATTCCAATTGCCAAGGGTTCTTTTACGTGCATGCAAAAATAAAAAAAAATCTGAACCCAATCTTTTACAATTTTCACGTTGGCATGTACGTAAAAGAACTCTTGACGGTTGGAATTTGACGAAAACGCCGCTATACTGACAAAATTTCCCTCACAGCACACTTCAAGATGGTTTGTGCCCGGCTTCAATAGCCCGGATCGGTGCAAAAAATTATGACGTTAAACCCCATAATTTATTTCATTACTGCAAGTTTTTCTAAAATTAATTTCTTTGATTACCAAGACAATATAGAGAGGGCTCCTGTGTCATATTTTCTGATAATTGTTGGTTAATATTGGCATCAGGCGGTTATTAAAAAAAAATTAGCAAAATATGCCATACTTTTATACAGCTGTTATTAGTTTCCATTCCACACGTTTACAATTATTATCATGCCCCCAACACTGCTGGAACTTGACCACTGAGCGTTTTTTCATTGAGATGCCTTTTATTCACACGTAAAAAGGGCGTGGTTATAGTATTTCTACACCAATGGAAATGCACCAATACAGAATTTCACTCATGGAACGGAAAATGTCGATTTTCCCCGAGCTAAAACTTTTTTAAAATTCCATTTGTCATAAAATGACTTGCAGAATTATTCAAAAGAATACACTGATAAATTGTTGTTCTTAAATATGAAATCATTCGTCATTTCATGATTCATAGAATTTTAAAAATTATCCCCAGGAGCTGTACTTAGGTCCATTAATTGGGCTATGTTCAAATATAGTCAATTTTATTTTCCGTTGTTTACAAACTGTGTATGGATAGTCTATTATATAGGAACTGAAATTTGAAATATCTAATTTCCGCCAGATTTGGTAAGCATAATGAAAAAAGTTTTCTCAAGAAATAGATTTATAAATTGATTTAATATGTGTGAAATAACATTTGTAAGATTCGTTTTAAAAACTTTTTCTCCAGAAATCGATTAATCACTTAATGCTTCATTTCTATTTTAATTGTCTGTATGTTTTTCGGCAACTCCAACTGTTTATTATTTGTAGGCCTTTAACTTTTGATTTATTTATATTTCTTTTAATTATTATTAGGAGTATTACAGAGTATTTTTTATGACTAAATGGTAAGATAACAGAGACAAAACGCGACACCGGCCATCAAAACAAAGTACTAAAATTTAGAAAATAAATCAAATTATATTGGTAAGTATCACAAAACAAAACTTTTGTCGAGAAATAGTTTTAGAAATTGATTTAATGAGTGTGAAATAGTTTCATTTATCGCGCATATTTTTGTTCTCCGTTATTACAGAACTGCTCCATTTCATCATTTCTAAAATTAGATTGTAGTCAACCCTTTATGACATAACTTTAATACAGTTGACCTTCCACGAGGTCAACTTAAACAATGCCCGTCTTGACCAATAGTAACAGGGATTGCCCGTCTTGGCCAATGGTAACAGGGATTGTATTAACCCTATAAATTAATTTGCCAGAACCAATGGCCTATGCTGTAAATATCTTTATACAGTTCTCGTTTTTGGTCATATTTTACAAAAAGTCTGACTTTTACGACCTATAGTTCGGAGTTTTCGCAAGTCTGACTTTTCGTAATTATTATAGCGCTAAATTCGAATCGAATTCGGGCCAAATAGGTGCGAGAAGTCAAAGTTGCGGGTTGGATCTATTTCATAAGGCCAACCTCACGAGATATTAACAGGGCTAGCGCTAATCCCAACCCTAACTCTGGACCTATAGCCCCAACGCTTACCTTAATAACATACAATCTCGCCAACAATCACGTGCCCTAACCTTATTTACATCTCAGCGACCTTGACGAAAATTGAGTTTGCCTTAAGAACTGGATCTAGCCAAAGTTTCGGGCTCATTTTTTTGTGTAATCGCACACAGTTGCATGTTTTATACTGGACTGTCCCTAGTGCGTATTTATAACAAATTTGTATAGGTTTTGTTAAAGATTCGAGATGCCTGATAAAGTTTAAATATAGAGATTAAGACCAGATACAATTCAAAGTACTTTTAGTAGAAACGAACTCTTTGGTCCAACAATAAATTACGTCCCACATCACTGAATACCAAAGTATTAATAAAGATCTTTATTATTTCGTAAAGAAAAATTCTGACAATATTTTCACAATGGACAGTGTATTTTTGGATAATATCTCGTCATCATTCAAGTTTCAAGTTTTTATTCATCGTCGCTGGAATCGTTACCCTTCAGTAAAAACTCATCCAATTCTGGATCTTGTCGGATTGCCTTGATCACATGCTTGGGTCTGATTTTGTTTCCATAGCGAACCCTTGTGGCGGACAAATCTAGAATTTCTGCCATGATATATTCCAGAACTCCCGCTAAATAAATTACTGCTCCGTCACTGACAGGTTTTCCAGTGGAACGCCACACTCGGCGCTTAACAGCATCGGGCTCTACGATCAATGGCTTTTCCGACATTTGGATTTTCTCCTGTGCCATATTTATAAAGGCTGGCAATTCGTCCTGAAACAAATGCAATGGATCCTAGTTTATTAATCATTGTCAAGGCTACAGCTTACATCCCAATGATAAGATTTCAGTCACATTTCTGTACTAATCCCTCCAGGGATGGGCAAATTAAAGTCTACGATCAATGGCTTTTCCGACATTTGAAGTTTCTCCTGTTCCAAATTTATAAAAGCTGGCATTTCGTCCTGAAACAAATGCAATGGATCCTAGTTTATTAATCATTGTCAAGGCCACGGCTTAGATCCCAATAAGATTTCAGCCTCATTTCTGTACTAACCCACCAGGAATGGGTCTTATCATCGTGATCTAAGCTGTTGCCTTGACAATGATTAATAAACTCGGAGCCTTTATAAATTTGGTACAAGGCTGACATCTTAGAGAGGGGTTCAATAGTCCGCGGGTGCACATACTATAAATATGGGTATCAAAAAACAACAATAGGTATGGTGGCTGATTGGTATCATGTCGTGATGTCACCCTTTATAACCCGACATCACAACATTTTAACCCGACGATACGACATTTTTACCAGACACCACGACATTAAAAATATCGTAATGTCGTGTAAAAATGTCGTATTGTCTTGTTAAAATGTCGAAATGTCGGCCATCTTCCCCTCAATATACAGTTTCATTATGTACACTGATCCTGGTCTTGGTCAAGTAAGTTCCCGTGGATTTTGCAGCGTCCATGGTTTCTCCCTTTCTGTAGTGCAGGACGAAGAGCCTGACAAAGAACAGTGTCAAGTTGTGTAGATGGGATAAAAGCACAAGCCCCTGTGTACACATTGCCGTGGACATAAAAGAACCTTTCACAGTTGGAATTCGATGGAGAAATGCCACTGTCCCTAGAAAATTTCTTTCATAGCACTCTGCATAGCGTATGCTTATCTCCAATAGTCCGAATGGCGCAGAAAAGTAGGAAACGTAAATGGAAATGAAATAGGGTTTAACGTCCCACTGTTCTGCTCTGAGTGGACTAATGAAGACGGGCATACTATGGGAGAAACTTTGCTCGGATAGCGGCGCTACCGGCCTACTATTGGATATTGAATTCAACCAACTCTTGGAAAAATGATTACATACCATTGTCAGGGTTGGTGCATTATATTGCATTGTCGGGTTGGTGTATGACATTTCATTGTCTATTGCTGTTGGTGCTTCACATTTCATTGTCATGGTGGGTACGTTAGTATTATAGTCAAGTGTTCGTTACGGGTGTACATTTACATGTGATCATCAATCGTAAAAATGGCAATAATAGATATTGGCGGACTGGTGCACCCGCGGACTAGTGAGCATTCCCTAATTAGATGTATAATCTTCTGGACGTTCCTGGTCGTCCTTATTAAATTGCAATATGAAAATACCGCCCTATACCGCCACCCCTGTTCTAGGGCTATTTTGCATTCCAATTGCCAAGGGTTCTTTTACGTGCATGCAAAAATAAAAAAAAATCTGAACCCAATCTTTTACAATTTTCACGTTGGCATGTACGTAAAAGAACTCTTGACGGTTGGAATTTGACGAAAACGCCGCTATACTGACAAAATTTCCCTCACAGCACACTTCAAGATGGTTTGTGCCCGGCTTCAATAGCCCGGATCGGTGCAAAAAATTATGACGTTAAACCCCATAATTTATTTCATTACTGCAAGTTTTTCTAAAATTAATTTCTTTGATTACCAAGACAATATAGAGAGGGCTCCTGTGTCATATTTTCTGATAATTGTTGGTTAATATTGGCATCAGGCGGTTATTAAAAAAAAAATAGCAAAATATGCCATACTTTTATACAGCTGTTATTAGTTTCCATTCCACACGTTTACAATTATTATCATGCCCCCAACACTGCTGGAACTTGACCACTGAGCGTTTTTTCATTGAGATGCCTTTTATTCACACGTAAAAAGGGCGTGGTTATAGTATTTCTACACCAATGGAAATGCACCAATACAGAATTTCACTCATGGAACGGAAAATGTCGATTTTCCCCGAGCTAAAACTTTTTTAAAATTCCATTTGTCATAAAATGACTTGCAGAATTATTCAAAAGAATACACTGATAAATTGTTGTTCTTAAATATGAAATCATTCGTCATTTCATGATTCATAGAATTTTAAAAATTATCCCCAGGAGCTGTACTTAGGTCCATTAATTGGGCTATGTTCAAATATAGTCAATTTTATTTTCCGTTGTTTACAAACTGTGTATGGATAGTCTATTATATAGGAACTGAAATTTGAAATATCTAATTTCCGCCAGATTTGGTAAGCATAATGAAAAAAGTTTTCTCAAGAAATAGATTTATAAATTGATTTAATATGTGTGAAATAACATTTGTAAGATTCGTTTTAAAAACTTTTTCTCCAGAAATCGATTAATCACTTAATGCTTCATTTCTATTTTAATTGTCTGTATGTTTTTCGGCAACTCCAACTGTTTATTATTTGTAGGCCTTTAACTTTTGATTTATTTATATTTCTTTTAATTATTATTAGGAGTATTAAGAGTATTTTTTATGACTAAATGGTAAGATAACAGAGACAAAACGCGACACCGGCCATCAAAACAAAGTACTAAAATTTAGAAAATAAATCAAATTATATTGGTAAGTATCACAAAACAAAACTTTTGTCGAGAAATAGTTTTAGAAATTGATTTAATGAGTGTGAAATAGTTTCATTTATCGCGCATATTTTTGTTCTCCGTTATTACAGAACTGCTCCATTTCATCATTTCTAAAATTAGATTGTAGTCAACCCTTTATGACATAACTTTAATACAGTTGACCTTCCACGAGGTCAACTTAAACAATGCTCGTCTTGACCAATGGTAACAGGGATTGCCCGTCTTGACCAATGGTAACAGGGATTGTATTAACCCTATAAATTAATTTGCCAGAACCAATGGCCTATGCTGTAAATATCTTTATACAGTTCTCGTTTTTGGTCATATTTTACAAAAAGTCAGACTTTTACGACCTATAGTTCGGAGTTTTCGCAAGTCTGACTTTTCGTAATTATTATAGCTCTAAATTCGAATCGAATTCGGGCCAAATAGGTGCGAGAAGTCAAAGTTGCGGGTTGGATCTATTTCATAAGGCCAACCTCACGAGATATTAACAGGGCTAGCGCTAATCCCAACCCTAACTCTGGACCTATAGCCCCAACGCTTACCTTAATAACATACAATCTCGCCAACAATCACGTGCCCTAACCTTATTTACATCTCAGCGACCTTGACGAAAATTGAGTTTGCCTTAAGAACTGGATCTAGCCAAAGTTTCGGGCTCATTTTTTTGTGTAATCGCACACAGTTGCATGTTTTATACTGGACTGTCCCCAGTGCGTTTTTATAACAAATTTGTATAGGTTTTGTTAAAGATTCGAGATGCCTGATAAAGTTTAAATATAGAGATTAAGACCAGATACAATTCAAAGTACTTTTAGTAGAAACGAACTCTTTGGTCCAACAATAAATTATTCAAATCGATCAAAGATTATTCTTAAATTATGACCTTTTTAAAGATAACTTCCTGTGTACAAACTGGGGGATTTGATGATATATTTGGACTAAAAACATATTCAAACTAATTAATCTATCAAAATTTTGCTTCAAATCCTTCTCAAAATTCCTCAAGCTATAAAAAATCTATGTTTGTGTCAAGTGACTTGGCTGACGAGGTATCTGTAGTATCTATAGCAGCGGGTGTGAAGCCGGGTGAGAATTCATTGCAGATAGTAAGGGAGCTATAGGTTCAGGTTGTTTCGAAAATCGCGTACAGACATTCTACCATGCTAGATGAGTGGACAGCGGTGTCCGATACTCTGAACTTGATTCTTAAGTTGCGGATTCCTTTCCCATGGGGGTGGGGGGTCCGACAAAACGTCGAAATTTCGAGTTTAATTCGACTTTTGCATACAACAATCAACTTTCGTGCATATAACTTTATATACTGTAACATCAAAAACACTGCTTAAGAAGACCCCCGACCCTTCCTTCCTCCCTTAATAACACGCTTTACCTCCCTGAGAGATAGGATATTCGACTTCCGTGTACAACAATAATTTTTTCGTTAAAAGTTTCACTATTGGTCCACTAGAACATAACACCAACTTAAGAACGCGAAATCCCCTTCTATCTCAGATAAGAACGACAAAACGTTGGGCCCACACGTCGACCAACCTCAGATGTCATCAAAAACACTGCTTAAGAAGACACCCGACCCGTCCTTCCTCCCTCAAGAACACCCCCATTACCTCCCTGAGAAATGAGTTAATACTTCCGTGTACAACATTAATTTATCAGTCAAAAGTTTCACTATAGGTCGACTAAAACTAAAACATAACACTAACTTAAGAACGCGAAATCCCCTTATATCCCGGATAAGAACGACAAGAGGGGTAGGGGGGGGGGGCATGGGTGAAATGACCAAAAATGTCGATTTAATTCGACTTTTGAGTACAACGATCAACTTTAATGCATACGCCAACCAACCTCAGTTGTCATTAAAACACTGCTTAAGAAGATCCCCGATCCGTCCTTCCTTCCTTAACAACACCCCCTTTACCCCCCTGAGAGATAAGTTAATTCGACTTCCGGATACAACATTAGTTTCACTATTGGTCTACTAGAAAATAACACTAACTTAAGAACGCGAACTCTCCTTCTATCCCGGATATGAAATGAAATGAAATGGGGTTTAACGTCCTACTGTTTTGCACCTATACTGGGCTAATGAAGACGGGCATACGCCATACAGTGTGCTATGAGGAAAATTTTGCCCGGGCAGCGGCACTATCGCCTACTCTTATATCGAATTCCAACTTTCAGGGGATCTCTTTAACGGCCAATGCAGGGATCGAACACCCGACCTCCAGGCTAGCGAGCCAGCGTCTTACCCACTTAGCCACGTGATCCCCATCCCGGATAAGAACAATAAAACGGGGGAACATGGGTGACGATTTAAGATTTAAGTCAACTCCATGCCTACAAATATCATCCTTCCGCCTATGTAAACTTACCTTAGATGACATCAAAGACTGTATATTATGCTTAAGTAGATCCCCGACCCATCCTTCATCACCGTCAGAGATGAGTTAATTCAACTTCCGCGTACAACATTAATTTTTATACGTCCACATTCATAATGTGAACGTATTATGCCGTCGCCCCTGTCTGTGTGTGTGTGTGTGTGTGTGTGTGTGTGTGTGTGTGTCTGTGGTTCGCCTACAGGGCGCAATTCTTCATGGATTTTCTTCAAACTTGGTATACTTATTCCTTATACCCCAAGGAAGATCCCTATTGTTTTTGGTGCATGCCCGACCCCCCGGGGCAGAGCCACGCCCATTTCTAGTATTTGTTTGTTTGTCGTCTACAGGCCACATTTCTTAACTAATAATCTTGAAACTTTGCATACACATTCTTTGTACCCTAAGGAACATCCCTATCGTTTGGGGTGCATGCCCAACCCCCAGGGGCAGAGCCACGCCCATTTTCTTTTCGTGTGTCTTTGTGTCGCCTACAGGGCGCAATTCTTACTGGATTTTCTTCAAACTTGGTATACTTATTCCTTATACCCCAAGGAAGATCCCTATTGTTTTTGGTGCATGCCCGACCCCCAGGGGCAGAGCCACGCCCATTTCTAGTATTTGTTTGTTTGTCGTCTACAGGCCACATTTCTTAACTTATAATCTTGCATACACATTCTTTGTACCCTAAGGAACATCCCTATCGTTTGGGGTACATGCCCAACCCCCAGGGGCAGAGCCACGCCCATTTCCCATTTTCTTTTCGTGTGTCTTTGTGTCGCCTACAGGGCGCAATTCTTACTGGATTTTCTTCAAACTTGGTATACTTATTCCTTATACCCCAAGGAAGATCCCTATTGTTTTTGGTGCATGCCCGACCCCCAGGGGCAGAGCCACGCCCATTTCTAGTTTTAAAAAGTACCATATCAATCAAAGCAGGAATGTGGACGTATATTGCAGCGGTAGCGATGCTCTTGTTTCGTTAATCGTTTCACTATAGTACACGGGTGAGTACGGGTTTTATATAGCGCGGTTCTCGGAAAGGGGAGCTGATTTAGTTGGCGACCCTAAAAGCTCCTGACGTCCATCTGTTTCACCAAATACAATCTGTAGAATTTGTCTTACTCATGATATTCCAAGATCTTCCAGACAGAGTGATATTTTCATTAAGGACTCCAATGAATCGCCCCGTACGGTGTTGTCGATCTATTCACTAATGTGCCAAGACAAAAAGCCTTAATTTGAGAGTTCTTGAAACCCGTGTTTGACAACTTTTTTACACCACTGGATACATCACTGCAAATTGATACCATTATTCCTTTGATCAAGCAATGCCTGGAATCCACATATTTCACATGGGGGAAAAACTATTATGGACAGATCCATGGTTTACCGATGGGAAGTCCTTATCTCCGCTGTTACAAAAAGAAGACGATAAGAAGAGAGAAAACCAACACTCATGGACCAGTATATCTACTACAAATCTAATCACTAAAATGCATAAAAATCAGGTATTATCACTACCTTAACTAAAAGAGCCGAAACCATTTGTGACCGGAATCCCTCAACCTAAAAGATGTCTTCATCCAACACAACGGCTATTCAGTACATATGGTTCATTAATGCCTCGTTATCCAACCTTCAAAAACTTGATAAACCCAAAAACTGATACACCCCTAATACGAGTCTTTATAACTTTCCGCGACAGTTTAAGCAGTGTTTTTGATGACATCTGAGATTGGATGACGTATGCACGAAATTTGATCGTTGTACTCAAAAGTCGAATTAAATCATCATTTTTGGTCATTTCACCCATGGGCCCCCAGTTTCGTCGTTCTTATCTGAGATCGAAGGAGATTTCGCGTTCTTAAATTAAATGTTATGTTCTAGTGGACAAATAGCGAAACTATACGCGGAATTCGAATTAACTTGTCTCTCTGGGGGGTAAAGGGGGTGTTCTTAAGGGAGGAAGGAAGGACCGCGGGTCTCCTTAAACAGTGTTTTTGTCGACATCTGCGGTTGGTCGACTTAGGCACGAATGTAGATCGTTGTACGCAAAAGTCGAAATAAACTTGAAATTTCGACGTTTTGTCGGACCCCCCGTCTCCCATGGGAAAGGGACCTGCAACTTAAGAATCAAGGTTCAGAGTATCTTGTAAATATGTTGCCTTTAATCGCTGTCCATTTACAATAAATATCAAAGCGTAATTAAATTCTCGGATTATCAACTGCCCAAAATTGTTGTACGCTTACGTCTCTCACTTTTTCCTAGTCCGCTCACCACCAAGTCTATCAACATAATTATACAACAAGCGCCCCCTAACGCTGAGAGATCGGACAATCTTCGCTTCCAACCTTTGACGTCACTCGAGCAGATATTCCTAATTGTCGGGTTGTCGGTTAGGGAAACCTTTACACTTTTGACCTGTGGACATATATTGTCGTCGCCCCTGTCCGCCAGTACGACCACAGTGTGTGAACACTCTACAGGTCACAATTTTTATCCGATTTTGACGAGATAAAGGTTTATCTCAAAAAGATCTCGGTTCCTATCGATATTGGCATGTATCGGACTGTCACTTCATGGATCATTGCCCCTGACTGTACGAAAAATCACGTTTTTAGCTTGTGGTCCCTCTAGAAGTCGCAATTTTTATCCGATTAAAAAACAAACGCTTGAATATGTCACCGTTACACCATAATCATGATTGAGTTCGAATTTCGTGAAAATCGGACCGAAACTGTCAGACTTTGAAATAATGCTTTCATGAGCGACTACATGCATTTCCTGTAATAACGAAAGTTTTAAATTTATATTAATTAACGTTAAAAACAAGTTTCTCGGTGAGCAGATTTAGATGTACAAAAAAAGACGTTTTATTAGTCAGAGATGGTTGCCCGCCATGAAGGTTGTGACCATCTATATCTTAGTTTTTAATAGTTCTCAAATTCTTCAGTTTATTTCTCAGGTCTAATCCAATGGTGGAGGCTTAAATAATCCTTGTATATCTATTCGTCACACAATGATGCATCCTGTGGAGCTTGTGAAGCCAAATTCACTGCCTTAATCCAGTCATTAACTTTAGTGACAGATTGCCGACGCTTGCTAGATCTTAGACGAGCGCGAAGAAATTTTCTTTTATCTCGCAACTTTTCCTTAGGAAAAGCATCAAAAACAGATACAACTTCTTGGCAAGAGACTCGGCGTTCTTTTTTCTTTGTTTCCCAATATGCAACAGTAGAACCCAATTGATGGTTGTTGGTAAGATCCAAGTAGAAGGTAGAATTTGACCTATTTCTATTATTAAGAGGGGGAGGAGGTGGGGGAGGGGGTGGTCCGCCACCACCACCTCCACCGCCACCGCCACCATCCATATCTGCATACATATCTTCATTAATTCCAAATCCTCCTCCACCGCCGTCATCTTCCTCGTCTTCGCAACCACCCCCTTCTTCATCATTATCATCATCACAGCCCAACAGGGGTTCGTCTTCTTCGGCATCATCACCACCACCTAACAGAGGTTCAGCTTCTTCGCCAGCTTCTTCGTCATCAGCTTCTTCGTTATCAGCTGTAAAAGAAAAATAATTGGAAACTGGTTTGAATGATGGCGTAACTACATCCGATACCTCACCCACCCACCCAACCCTTTTAATTGGAATTCTTCATTTCAAGACAGTTAAGCTCACTTAATCAAATTCATTAGGGCTACCTAATTATTTCATCAAGTCCAAACAAAGTTATCAAACAGTAAGGTGTTAAATTTGAAACGCACTTATCAAACCCAAAGATGATGCCAAAAATGTTAACCCTACCCTAAAACTGACCTGTAAGTTTGAAGAAATATCCAATTGTTGGTGCTTCTGGGTCACCGAGTTCAAGAGCTTGCGCTATTGACGTCTGTAGGAACCGGGTCATGATAACTACAATCAACTAAAATATATCTTAAGATCTTAAAAAATCGATTCATTACAGTGCTAGTCAAATAGATAAAAAAAAGTAGTGGAGGGCCGTTAACCCTGGAGCAAATTAATTCATAGTTTTAAACACCCAAACAATTCTGGCAACTTTTAAATTAAATCCTGTTGAGCGCCTACGCAATTTTGATGGTTAGAATTTAGAAGTCATTTATAAGTACAGTGGCAGTGGGTGTCCTGGTTACCTAAAGGCAGCTATAGAAAATGGTAGACAGAAAAACATTTTTCCTTCTCGATACCAGTAATGCAACTGAACAATTCCAGCAATTTTTGTAATAAATCTTTTGTAGAATTCTTACAATGTTCTGATTGGATAAATGATTCCGCCAAGTATGAAACGATTTCTAGAATACAAACCTGAAATGCTGCTGTTCCCAGGAGAGCAAATCCAGTATAGGTCATCAGCTGTTTTCCATAAAAAGTCACCAAGGATTCTCTACAACCCTGGGGATAAATTGTTGTTTTCATTCTGTAGTCATAACTGTAGTGCATATCGTTATCATGCACGTGGTGGTTGATGCAAGGTCGTCGAGAAGCTGAGTCACAGCAGCTAAAAGGCACGTCGTCATTTCTGTATCCTCCTACCTGAATTTCGCTACAAAAAGTTAGAAATTAGAAATTGGTGAAGATGCTAATGCTCGGTTTACATTCTGATTCAAACGTTCCGTCTGCAAGGGCCTACAGCTGGGTGTTTTGAGAGGAATATGGCCAATTTAACACGACATCACAACAAGCCGACATCACGACACCACGGGTTGTCGGGTTATTTAAATTGAAATGTAGTGATGTCGCCTTATGATACCAATCAGCCACCATATATAAATGGCTTACTCTTTTTAATTAGCTTTCATTGGCTTTTTGGCGATTGAAAGCATTTACTGGAAAGGATTTAGACACATCGAAAAAAAGAAAATAAAGGAACATAAAAGCAAGCAACCTACGTTTTTTTTCTATCTGTGTTAACGTATTCTTCTCTAATCCAGGAGATTTTAAACCAATCAGTATATTTATTATTTCCACAACATCTAAAATCTATCTGTAGAGTATCAATCTCAATCTTTAATGTTTTATTTGTCTTATAATTCCTCATAGCTTTATATATTCCTTTATCGAAAGCTCTGTTTAGATACCACGTCTGTCCAAAGGAGACTCCCGCCATAACAAGAAGTGTTAAAAACAAAATAGATCCAAATATTAGACCTGGAAACAGCAGACCTGACCTCTTTTCGCGCATCTTCGAACGTCGGCATGAAAGCAGTACAGCTCCAAGGGCAGTGTTATGAATTGTAGAGTATAAGCCAAGGAATATTATAACTCCAGGAAGAGCTGCCGTGTTAAAACTCTCTATTAGTCTTATTTTTGATTCCACTTCCACTTTAGCATACCCGCCAACCGCTATTAGAGCCACAGAAGGTCCTATCATCATAAAACATAAAATGGAGGCACCTATTGCCATCTGCTGACGTTTGTCTTCGGTAATCAGAGACCCCATAGTAAATGTCCTTCCTTAATAAATTGGCTTAATTCTAAACTAAGAAAAAGACTTTTCTAAAACACTCTTAGTCTTTATAGATTGTTATATTTTTACGTGTTGTCACTAGTCGATTGTCTAGAGTGATAACTTGGACGCCTAAATTTGGGCTAGGCCTAATTTACTTAGTAATACCAGGCTGAGCAACCGCAGTGCCAATCTAATCACAAACAAATAATATTAATTAATACTTAATAATTACTATTAATAATAGCCTAAATAGGCCTACTTTTTTTAGGATTGGGCCCATCGCAACTGTTCACAGGGTAGAATGGATACAACCTATTTTCTTAATAAACAAAAAAACAACACTAAATGACATCAATCATCAAGAAGCTGATCACTTTTCAGTCGTCATTTCCAACTAGAACTAGAATCAAGATGCTATTGCTAGGCTAGATTATTGTGAGTGATTGTGAAAGTGAAGAGGGTGGGATGCAACTTCATTCTTCCAACCTGCTATAAAGCAAACTTGAAAACCCGGTGTCGGAGCTGATGATATTCTCATAAGTTAAAAAGGGCCCAGATAATTAACTTCAAGACCATAACACTATTAAAACATCAGTAAAAACTAGAACAAGATCGGTTGTTGTTATTGTTAGTAAACAAAATGGCCACTCCTTTTTAAACGTCATAGAAATATGCCATCAAAACATTACGTCATTTTCTGAATAATGACGTCAAAAGGCATGCATACTAGAGTCCGCACTGATCACGTTTATATCCGTCTGCTTACAGCTGGCCCCTGGGGCCCGGACTTATTGTTGTTTATTAAATTATTTGGCGCAATGTCCCTTTAGTTTTTGCAAAATAGTTTCCTATCTGTTTTTATTTCTGTCGAGGATCGGCCATCTTCTGAAATGTCTGAACTAACGATACACGATATAACAATCGATATTTGGATGTTGCATCAATGGGTATAAATTGGATAGTATGAGTAATTAATTAATGCGATTAAATACTAAAATACTTAATAGCCTGGTGCGACTCGAATCCGACTTCCGAGGCGTCCGACGTACACCAAAAATCAAATTTAAAGCAATATCAAATAGATATTGTTTATTTAGAATTGATACAATGTATGCTAAAAAAAAAAATATGGGGTGTCATTACTGTCAAGTTTATACTCGAAAACTGTATAGTTTATAATTCTAATCATAGAACTAGTTCTATGTTCTAATTAATCAGTATGTCCTTTTTAAAGCTGAGAACGAAGATACAATTATTTCCCTTGATATGCCACTCTTCTATATTAAAGATGTAAATATTGTATGGTGACATGGCGCTCAATGTTTTGTTTATATTTTGTTTATTGTTAAATGTTTTAGCGGAAGCCGACCAGGTGTGTGATATAGCAAATGTTCAGATTGAAAATGAAGATGGCAGTCGACAGGTTTTTGAATTAAAGCGTCTGCTACCTCAGAAGGATAGCCCATGCTTGTTGTGTTCTGGAAACGATCCCGGAATTAGAACATGGGAGATAACTCCGCTTAGTTTCAATGTTGTCTTGTCACAAGGAGAACTTATCAATGAATGTGGTATGAATAATGAATTTGAATACTAAGTAATTTGTCATAAATTCATAATTACCTTCGTTAAAGAAGCATTAACACCTTTAAGGTCTTCACTGTTTGTTAAAGATGCATTATGTGTAACTGCCTAAATTATGGTACAGTGTCAGTAGCCTACAGGCAGCCACAGGTAGGGTGCCCTGTGGCCGAATCTTTTCCCTTCTAAAAGTTGTACTCGACACGTTGAATGTGCACGCTTCAGTGACGTAACTCTAATTGATTTCAGCTAGACGAGTCTCGGGCTCTCTTTGTGTCTATAAATAGCCACAGCACGAGAAATTCTCAACACTTGTAATAACTATTACAGACGTAAAAAATCTATTGTTGACGATTCTGAATAGCACTAGCAGTAATATTTAGCTTTTTGGTTTATTACTGCAGCTTTAGAAATTACGCTCGTTTTATTTTTTAAATTGCTTTATTATTAACTAGACCGTTAGGAGTGGCATCTTTTGGTTGAGTACAAATAATATTTCTGAATAACGCGGGTTGGGCAGGAAAATGATACTAGATGTAGTTTCATTTTACTTTTACAAGGTTCTTAAAACAATTGTTGTGTCGCCCACCGGGCGTTATTTGTAAATTCAATTTCTTGTTCTAGCTTTCAGTCATGTTTCGTAAAAAAGTAGTCTTGATTACCCCGGCCTGTCAATCAGACGGAGAATGGTCGGTAGACTGGTTAAGTGAGACTAATTTCAAAACAAGGGCACGTAACCTATTTTTTGCTCAAAAGTGTCTGGATGTCATGGACGACACTCCGAACCATTTTTCAGTGTATTATTTATAGATGGTTAAATGGTCATATCTTATTAAGTACAACATGACCGTTTATTTAGTGACTATAATTGTGCGAAACTGATTTAAAGCTTAGTATATATATAAGTATTGTGGTGTAATTGTCGAGATATTTGGAGATATTTATTTATGGTGGGGCAGCCTACCACAGGACAGACCTTTGTCCTTTATATTTTATTTTCATTTGCTTGGCTTCAACTATTATTTAGACATTTATTAACATGACAAGGCTTTAATCAACTCTCTAGACCACCGGATGGCAGAGATTTAAATTAAAGCGTCGCCGAGGTTTAAAAATTTAACGATAAAATGGATAATCAAGACTTCTCTGAACATTACATAGGTCTATGCTACGTCTTCCAACCAGGGTACATGATGAGAAAAAAAAAAAATTGATTAGCAATTATTAGATTAGGAAAAAAAATTGACTAGCAATTATTAGATGTTTTAATCCATCAATCTGAAAATTAGTGACACAAAGACTGACTCCTATTATCATCTGATCCGTATGAAATTTATATGCATTAATTAAATTAGTGGAATTGAAGAAGACTATTGAATTTCAGCAGTTTCTGTCAATTACATCTAAATTTATGGCCCTTGTTTTACCTTGTTGAACTTGTGAACATTCAAATGATAAAAGTTATAATCCGATCTGTATGAAATATATATGCATTATTTTAATTAGTAGGTCTACATGTAAAACGAAAAAGACAGTCAAATTTCAACAATTTCTGTAAATTACTTCAAGAGTTAAGGCCCTTGTTTCAGTTTGTAGAACCTTGTCATTCCTGTATGAAATTGTCTTGTAAATAAATCCCCCCTATTAAAAGAGTAAATGTGCGACAACCCTTGTTGATTCGCTCAGATGATTTAGCTGCTGGGGGCGTATGTTTCGTTGCCTGACAACCTATCTTTTATTATCTAATTTTGAATGTCTAGCCTTTATCTAAGTCTTACATAAGTTAAGGTGATACTCAACAAGCAACAAACTTGGGGAATATCACGCTTTACTTTATTATTTTGCTTTTGGACCCCAACTGTATCACTGAGATCCGATCTTGCCTGCACTGTACATAGATTCTTCCATAAACTGCAGTACTTTCAGTCAGGAGTTAATTCGTCACAGTCTTGGATTTGATTAAAATCTTACATAGAAGCTTACATGTACATGTAATGCATGGTTAAGAAAATACATGTAGGCCCCTACCTTTCTTTTTAAATTTCAATTTTACAATAATATTTTCCAGAAAATGAAAACCATAATTTACCAGCAGGACTGTGTTTACAGAAACCTGGAGAAGAATACTGTACAAAAGGAGACAAAGATGTTCCACAATGTCTATTTCATGATCCACAGGTAAAAATAATGATTTTAGTATTTAACAGTCATACATACATTAAGCTTGGATAGGGGAGCCGCTGTGGCTCAGTGTAAGACGTTGTCTCGCTAAGAGGTCCCATGATCAATGCTTGTGTTGGATGAGAAAGTTCATCAGGATTTTCTGGCATGGTTTCTCCTTGTCAGCTTGTAGGACAGAGGGTCTGGCAAAGGGACAATGTATAGTCGTTCAGATGTGATGAAAAACCAAGGTCTCATGTACACATTGGAGTTGGAATTTGATAGAAAGTGGCGCATAGCGCCGCTGTTGGGGGCAAAATGTTTCTCATAGTACACCGCCCAGTCAGAGCAGAAAAGTAGGATGTTAAAGCCCATTTTATTTTAGTATGGGATGCAGGTTTAAAACCATCCATATTGCACAAAAACCCAGTTAAATACCGTCAAATAAAGAATCACATCCTCTAGCACAACTTACGATACACAAAGTGTGTACAATGTGACAGCGCCTGTCCATCCCACTGCTAAAGACCCCTACGCGCAAGCAAATTATTGAAATAAAATTGAGCTAGTTTGTGTCAAGTGGAAGTTAAACGTTAGTATAGGGCAGAATTAGAGGCCGAACAAATTCTAATGATTTCTGATAATAATTTAATGGTTTGTTACTTGTAATCAGATTCTAGTGTGTTTGTAAATGTTTTCATTACTGACAAAAGAAAAAAATATGTGACAACTGCCCACTGCCCAGATGACTTAGCTGTTTTGGGCATATGTTTTCATTTCCTAGCAACCTATCTTTAAACAACATAAGCTTTAAGCTTACAGTATTTGTGAAATAAGATTTGGACTAACAGTAAAAAGATTAAAATAAGTGGTCATATATTTTGTAGGTCATGGCAGAGGAAATTGTTGCAAGAAATTTGGTTCCAATGGCAACTGGGAATACCGTTATAAATAATAAATTAGGTGAGAAGAGTTATTGTTAATTTCTGTGATTAATATTCAGTGCATGTCCTGGCAATGGGTACTGTAACTCCCTATTTCATTGGTTGAACAATTATGAAATCAGACAACTATGTTTTCAAGTCAGTAAAGTGTTTCCCAGAATTTATTACCTCATTTTTATCTTTTGACAAATTTTTTGGTAAATTTTCTTTTTTTTTAGCTTTAGGTATTGTACATTTAAACACTGGTTCATTTGATAAAGCCATTGCTATATTTACAAATATATTAAATGTAAGTACTGGTACTTTTTTAAGTGATCATTTGTCTCAGAATTTCCCAAAATGAAAGTTCTTGTGTTCAAATTGCTTTTGATTGTTATTACCACCAGTAAGTTTAATAAGTATTGCAATTTAATGGCATGTAAATTAACTGACATTCAAATTTCTTGGCCAAACATTTTTCAAGTCAATTAGACCTTGATTAGTACAAATTGGCTCAATTTCAGCCCAGATGTATTAATTAATGCTACATGTATAAGTTCAGATGTGCGTGCACAAACCATCGTATGCTTACTTTTATTTTAAAACACATGATATTGCTTGTCACTGGGCTTATCTGTGATAGTGATGATATTTTGTGGCAGGTATTTAATTTAGCTTTTCATATTGTTTTAAAGGATCTTTCCACTGACTTTGACATTATCCATTGTTTGTGTTGTTTTGTACTTTATAGTGTTGTGCTGTCAATTAACTATTTGTTGAATATATTTGACAAAGAATTGATTATTTGAATTTTTTTACAGCAAAAACCTAAAACAACGGCAGCTTATTATGGTAGAGGTGTGGCTTATTCTAGAAAAGGTTTAAATGTAAGTTGAATGACTGCCACAACCACTTACAAATTCCATTTTAAGTAACATGTATATTCATCAGTTTTCTTTGGTTCCGAACTCAAATCTGAGCTAGGATGTTAACAATAAGAAGCATACCCGGTTTCGCCTGGGTCCCAAAGCTTGGTAGTAATATGCTGCCTTAACTCTGAAACTGGAAGTGGTAGTCCATCGCCACCAGACCTATATTACTCCCGGTCTGAGCTACCCCTATACACCAAATTTCAGCCTCAGTACAGCTCTAGTGCAGCCACCAACCCTGAACAAACAGACAAACAAATGACAGTCGTAAATATTAGTATAGATTTAAGTTTGTATAAAATGAGAAAGAAATGGGTTGTGTCATCCTATTTCTCTATCTTACACAAATTTAAGTCATATGTCAGAATGGTAGTATATTGAAATTCTTAACATTTTTACTAGCTCTTATTTTGTTCTTTTTTAGACAGCTGAGAACGCTATTCAAGCGTTGGCTGATTTTACACAAGCCATACAAAAAGATAAAACACAACCTGATAGCTACGAACGTCGGGCTGAAGTAAGTTTGTTTGAAGTTTGTAGCACAAGTCTCGATTATCCATTTAAGCGTAACATTTTAAAATCGTGCAGTTTTTTTAAATCCATTTAAATCTCAACCAAGAGGCAGATTTAGCTTGTACATAATGCATCTTTAAAAACAAGGGGTTTATCTCTTTTTTTCAATCCACATTTGAATGGCTGTCTTGTAGGTCAGATATTTTATTTTAGAAATATACCGATTTCTGGACTAAAAATCATCAAAGTGGCAGCTTCTTGAGTGGAACTGAAGTTGTGGAAATTGATTATCAGATTAGACAAGTGTTAAATTATGTTTCTGTAATGAAAGTAGGGCCAAAGATATTTTTGAAAGCAAAACCATTAAAGTTAATCAGCTAATAGAATTATGTTCTTTGTGACATCCCGAAAACAAAGAAATTGTGAAGCGCTTTGCCATTTTGAATTGTCTTTGTTATTCTGTGAATTTGTTGGGAAGTACCAGTGCTTAACTGTCTGTTAACACAATTAATTGGGGTATATAAAGTATTAAATATATAAGGATACCAAGGCATAATTTAATCTTAATATCTGATTTCTAGGTATATACAAGTCTTGGAGAATATCAAGAGGCATACAATGATTTAACAACTGCCATACAAAAACGTCCAACAGAAAAAACTTATTTTATGAGAGGAGTCCTTGGTTTACTTCTAGAGGTAATAGCAGTCGAAATTACTCTAATAACGAAAGGATTTTATACACCCACACTGAAATATGATCAGATATTTAATTGTAGATGCTCTAGACGCTAAAGTTAAGATATGATACACTTGATATTAATTACTTCAAATATTATTGCCCATGATTAGTTTTTAGTGTCTTGTAAGTGGTCCCATTACTTTCATAATAATATAAATAAGTTCACCTTTGTAGACTACTCAGGCAATTTAGCTGCTCTAGACGTATGTTTTGGTGCATGTAAAAGCCAATCATTACTTTATGTTAAACAGCTTGAGATAAACTACATCAAATATCAATCTTTACTTTATACTAGACAGTTTGAGGTATACTACACCAAAATTCAATCTTTACTTTATACTAGACAGTTTGAGATAAAGTACATCAAAAACCAATCTTTACTTTAGTTTACACTAGACAGTTTAAGATAAAATACTTCAAAAACCAATCTTTAGTTTATGCTAGACAGTTTGAGATAAACTACATCAAAAACCAATCTTTACTTTATGCTAGACAGTTTAAGATAAACTACACCAAAAGCCCATCTTTAGTTTACACTAGACAGTTTGAGATAAACTACATCAAAAAACCATTCTTTACTTTATGCTAGACAGTTTGAGATAAACTACACCAAAAGCCCATCTTTAGTTTACACTAGACAGTTTGAGATAAACTACATCAAAAAAACATTCTTTACTTTATGCTAGACAGTTTGAGATAAACTACACCAAAAGCCCATCTTTAGTTTACACTAGACAGTTTGAGATAAACTACATCAAAAAACCATTCTTTACTTTATGCTAGACAGTTTGAGATAAACTACACCAAAAGCCCATCTTTAGTTTACACTAGACAGTTTGAGATAAACTACATCAAAAAAACATTCTTTACTTTATGCTAGACAGTTTGAGATAAACTACACCAAAAGCCCATCTTTAGTTTACACTAGACAGTTTGAGATAAACTACATGAAAAGCCCATCTTTACTTTATACTAGACCATTTGAGATATACTACACCAATCTTTACTTTACAATAGACTTTTTGAGATAAACTACACCAAAAAGAAAAAAAAAGATTCACTGATAGTTAAAATGACCAGTCTGTAGATTAATTAGTAATTAATGGCAAACATGAGAAAATAGTGGATGCCAGAATTTAATGATTTTTTTAAATTTTTTATAGGATTTTGGTTTAGCAGAAGAAGATTTTCGTCGTAATTTAGAATCTGAAGGAGAATTACATATTATGTCATATTTTCATCTAGGTGTAGCTTTGTATTATAGAGGACGTGTTCGGGTGAGTTACTGTGACTGTATCTTGGTTAATTAGACATGCTCAATGACTACTGCTCTCTATATTTTGAAAATAATGCTGGTGACTTAGGTTATCTTAAGGACTCCTGTAGAGTGCTCAATTTTACACCTGGAAGTTCCTAATTGATGGAATTGTAATTGTATGAAACAGAATTCTGTCCTTTTACAGTTCTGTCACTCCCAATAATTGTTGTGGTGTATTGAATCGTGACATAATCAAACACAGTGAATACGTTTCAGCTGTTGTGGTTGGTTGAGATATTACTAGTGCCATATTGTGTCTAGTCGCCAGTGACATTCTATACTCATTCCTCTCATGCCTCCCTTTCTCTACTTCTTATTTACACCGCCAGACAGTTTAAGGTTTGCACTCATATGCAAGTGCATGTAATACCGCCCTGAAAGGATATACCGATTGCCAGTAGATTATTGAATTTAAAATCTATGAACAGTTGTATGTAGAAAATTTAGAAAATTGATTGTTGTATTTCAGAATGCTATTGAAGTGTTTAAAGAAGTATTAAAATTAAGACCTGACCATATTGATGCTTGCACTAGTTTAGCTCAAGCTTTTAGGTAAATGACCATACTTGTCCTGTCTTTGATATATCTGAATCATTTGCTAGAATAATAATAGTATAGTCCATATATTCAAACATGAGCATGCTTAAAGCGCAGTCCAAAAAACAATCACAACTTTCACAAAGTGAATGTTGTCTTTGTCTTAAATGTTTGAAGTCTAAATTAAAACAAAATAAAAATAAATTATCTGGAGTTCCTGATTTCCAGTGGCAGATCATTCTACTCTGGTATAATTGTCCCTAGAAGCATCCTTTTGCGGGACTATGAAGCAAATACCCTGATAATATTGTGCAGTTTTGAGTGCATCTTGCTCTATTATTTGACAATTCATAGTTTGTACCTTTGTTGCCCCTTGTTTTAATTTTATCGTTCTATAACCCATTTTTCTGTTAAAATTTTTTACAATTCTATCCCTAGATATTTAAAGAACTTATACTTTTGCAAACAGTGATGTTTTTAGAGCAAAATGAACCACAACCTCCAAAAGGACGTTTCTACTGATAGCTATGATGCTGCTGTAAAATCTGCCCATACTTTTTTTTAAAGCTGGTAAAAGTGATTCAATATATATATATATATATATTACAGGGAATTGGGTAATTTAAAGGCAGCTAGTACCAGATTTAATCAGTCCTTTAGTATGGACTCGAACCATGTATTAACACGACAGTTACACGGTTCCATGTTATATAGTAATGGTCAACCTAAACAAGCCTTACAAGAATTTACAGTAAGTAATTATATAACTAACTTGAACAAACCATTCATTGTGGAAATTTTTTACATTTGCTCTACAACATTCGATGACAGTGATGTTAAAGCTAGCATGTTTTATGGGGCCTGGCAAGACACAGCTTTGCACAATCATTTAAAATGAAATTCCCTTTTGTGCTCATAAATGGTTCCTTGACAGTTGGACTTTGAAGAAGAGTGATCAAAAAAGAGTTAAAAGACATTAAGCCCTATTCCATTATCTTTAATGTGAGAAAAATCTGTACTTGATTTGAATTGTAATTCTGTATCCATTTGTAATCTGTTTCTATTTCCACCTTTATAACAAAGTTAGATTGTTATTGAGAATTTATATAATGTGGGGTTTTTATTTTTTAGAAATGTATAGAATTGGCAGAAAACAATATTAATTGTCAGTATATGCAGAGTTTATCGTATATGGCAGTAGGGCAATTTTATCAGGGAGTTAAAGCAAGTGCTAAAGTAAGTTTGAATATGATTTAATTTTTATCCATTTATAAAAATCATGCATTTCTTTGCCCTGTCAGTATACAAAATGTATATCTGGAAAATTAATTTAAATAATGAAATGATTTGAACTCAAATCTTTATCAGATTTCTTTGAATCGATCAAATTATTTGTGGCATGAAAGTGAGGCAATATTTTCAGTTAAATTTCATGCAAACTGTAAATTTGTGTATATTTTAACTCCACAGGTTCTAATTAAAAATACAACACCTATAAAAATGTCACCTGAATTTATGAAAGCTCATTATTTAAAAGGTAAATATTTTTATTCCCCTAAAGGTGACAAGGGAGGGGGCTATATGTTTTCTGTCTGTCTGACCATTTGATTGAAATATGTTTTGAGGTTAAGCTTTGAAGTATTTATTTGAGGGGATCACGTGGCTAAGTGGGTAAGACGCTGGCTGCTAGCCTGGAGGTTGGGTGTTCGATCCCTGCATTGGCCGAGAAAGTTCATCCAGATTTTCCGGCATGGTTCCCCCTTGTCAGTGATGCAGGACTGAGAGCCTGACAAGGACAGCTGTCTAGTCCTTCGGATGAGACAAAAAACCGAGGTCCCGTGTATACATTGGAATGCACGTAAAAGATCCCTTGGCAGTTGGAATTCGATATAAGAGTAGGCGATAGTGCCGCTGCCCGGGCAAAATTTCCCTCATAGCACACTGTATGGCGTATGCCCGTCTTCATTAGCCCAGCATAGGAGCAGAACAGTAGGACGTTAAACCCCATTTCATTTCATTTGAAGTATTTGATTGAAGGTTGGAACATAAAACAATTCATTGAAAATTCAGAATTTGTTCTATCTAATCTATAGTCTGTATATATCTGGATTATATATTAGCAGAAATTTATTCGCACTTATAACTGCATGGTTCCTGGGTTGATTCTTTGAGCTGAATAATCATACCAAATTTTCATTAAAATTCGTTCGGATATGGTCTCCTCCTGGTTGAATTGACACATATAGGGATAAAGTGTCATATTCCTATCCCTGATATAGTATCATATTTCTGATAAAGTGTCATATCCCGGAATAAGTACTAGACATACAACCATCATATGGTCACAGACCAGGTTTGTTAATCACTTTGTTGGTTTTCTCCTTTAAAAAGTTCTTTTGTTGTTACATTGACATACTTTCTTTGGATTTTATTTCTTTTTAATTCTTTTATACACTATTTATGATTACTGGTTTCTTTGTTTTACAGAATATGGCCGTTATATACATTCCAAATTAGATTCACCATTAAAATATTTTACACCAGAAAAAGATTTTGATTCGGAGTTCAGAGAACAATGGGTTAAGATATTACCCTTTAAATTTAAAGTAAGTTTATCTTATAAACATGGGTTCCATGTCGGCAATATATTTTTTTCAAAACGTGATTTTTAAACATTACCATGATTAACCAGAGCTGCCATGTAACCATAATATTCTACCAAAAAATTAAGAAAATTACGTATCCAGTGCTAATTTATAGCAATATTGATAATTTGTCTGTCATACAAATGTTGTGTATATGGTTATTCTTAATGTGCACTACTACTAACCATATTCTAGTTTCGCTAGCTGTAAAGTTAGTCTGTCATTCAAATTAATTATTCTGCGGTCCGTAATGCCATAGGAGATGGTCTAAAACCGATAAATGTGAAAAATATGCTGTGGATAATTATATATTTATCCTCATTTTGAAATTATTGTATTACAACTCAAAATTATCAAGTTCAGTGTGTTTTCTATAGAGCATGTGGTAATACGTATGAGCTACTGGACAGCTCTTTATATGTCTTTAACCAAGTAAGAAATATTGATAATAAAAACTACTTAAAATAGCCAAAAGGGAATATTTTATTAATAAATAATTATTATAAGCCCTACTAATATTTTATTCCTTAGATCAATATATATTTTTTTGTGTACACCATGCTCACAAAGTGGTATAGACATACCCTACCATAGATAAAAAAACAAAACATGAAATACAAATTTAATTTGCAAAGTTTTTGTCTAACAGTGAAAATTTTGAAGTTGACGCTCTATTTCAAATTAAGCTATATTTATTTTAAGTAGTGCTGTTACCATTCAATGATGCACAAGCAAACAATACAATTAACACTAACAGCCTACTTGCTATACGTAAAGAAAGAATTAATTTCATGTAAAATCTGGCCTTCAGATTTCCAAAACCATGTTTGGGTGGCAAACTTACTGTGTTTCATAAGGATGAAGAACCTCTATCAATATTTAGACATGTCAAATTTTATGCGTAGTTATTTCCCCTGAAAACTTGCTGGTTTCTGTATATATTTTGTTACATGGCAATGTTATGTTTAACTCTTTCGTTGTGGCAGCTGACTATATTGTCGACAGTTTAGTACAGGTGCCATCATTTTTACAGCGTGTGAAATTTGTTATCTAATATAGACACAGATGTCAACACTATATTTTCGATACATTTTCAAGAGTCGTTTTGAGAAATATCATCAACGCATAATAGCATCAATTGAACATATTTCAGCCAGCGAAGCTCTGAAAACTATTATATTAGATTCCAGTGCAGAATGTGAAAATTTTGACTCCGATAATGAAGTTGAAAGTGACTCAGAATGTTTAGAATAATTGACTACAAATTCCAATGAAACATGTACTTTTCATAGTAATTCTTCTGGTATAAGCGTAAATGAGCGTTCATAATCATTATATAAATGTAAATAGAACTAGTGGCCCCCAAAAGCAAAAGAGTTAAAAATCAGTTCATGACTATGTTCAGTATTTTCAGTTTTGACATGTAAAGAATTTATGCTGAACATTATTAAAAACCATTCTTGAGAAAAATATTTGTATATTGTAGACTACATATAAAGAACAACCAGGATTACAACCAGAAATAAGGTAGTGTAGACATACTCAAAGACTCTCTAGTTTCAAAAATTTCATTGAAACTCTAGTAAAAGCTCTGAATAATGTTTCTCTCAAAAAGTCTTAGTAGAAATAATGTGAAAATTATTTTGTGATAGCACTAGAATCATATCTTGATATCAGCATTAATACAGCACGTATCACATCATTACCCTTTGTCTATCAGGATACATATATATAGTTTGTTCAGAACTATCCTTTTTATTGTTTCTAGGTTTGTAAGAGGGGTTCAGTGACCAAGGGGTCTATCACCTGCACATTAGATCATAATGTCTGTTTTTATGTCAAGTGGCATGAGTTCGATCCCAGACTTGTACTTGACAATGAGTAGGACTTTATAGAGCGGGAGCCCAGGCAGGGGGTTAACCTAGCTGAAAAGTGTACCAATTTTCTCCTATATGGTATCAATGCCTGTATACCTGGTATCACTAGGACGGCTGCCTAACCTCACGTGTTTTCTTGTGTCCTAAAGACTCCTGGGAACAAGCAAATTAGTGATGTACCATATGTTAGTCCCAAAATAATCTAGTATTTATTAACACCATTCTCTCTCTAGGTTTGTAAATGTACATCTTGAAGTGAAAATTTTTAAATCTCAGTTCATAATTCTTCATGAACACTATATCAATCACATGTAACAAATTGGGAGATTAAACCTTCAAATTCAACAAAACTAACAAATTATATTATAATATTGGTTATAAAACACAATTCTGTAATGCTACATGTAACATGTTTTAATATAAATCATATTGGTGCCAGATTATGTCGCATGGGGGGGGGGGGCTATGGTGCACTTAAGTAAATAGGGGCCTCTGCGCAGCACCTTCCCTTCAAAAAAGAAAGAAAGATTATGTTTATATTGAAATTGAATTACATAAAGAATATTATTGATTTATTTATTGATTTGAATACCCAATGTACGGTAGATGTCCTCCACTAGGTGACACTTGTATTAGTAAATTCTTCACCCTGATCTATTTGTTATGTTATTTGGTTGACTATTTCAGTGATGTTAAAGAACACACATTAACAGACTATAGTGAAGATGTTAGAAAGTTAATCTGTCAAGCTGAGAAACTTGGTTCTATAACCCAGGTTAAAGCTGATGGTTTTACTCCTAACCGAAGATTAAATCTAGCCATGGGTATTGCTACAATACATATAGCACAATATTTAGAGGTAAATGTCTAATCTAATATTTGATCACATCATCAGAAACTTGTTTTTTCTGCTAAATGAATAAGGAATTAACAGAAATGTATTTTAGTTACCCTGACTGCAGTGCTCACTCTGGGTTCCATTTTTTTCCCGCCAATATTTCATTTGAATCTATTAACCACATACATTTTCTGCCAAAAAAGGAAAAAAAAACTTCTACATGTATTAGGTTCTTTCAGTAATTTTTATTGCATATTTACTTTCAATGTATATACATAAAATTACGATGTTACAATTTACAAAATTCTTCTCTGCTTTGCAGAGGCCATTTTTTGAAAGTTTTTTTTAGTACACTACAACCAGTTATGAATGAATTTGTAAAGTTAGCTGATTCACGTGTGGAACAAAACACTGTTTTGGCAGGTGCATCATACCTTAACCAAGGATTTGAAATTGATCAAACAGACGGCATAATCCCAATTCCGATTATATACGTTATAGAAACTATCAAAAAAAAAAAATACAGATTCATATCTGAAGACAAATAGTTTACTTGCAGAGTCTTTTGAAAGTTGACACCCCTCAATGTTCCCCAAACCGCCTAACCATTTGATCATGAAATAACTGCTCCCTCAGTCAAGCTAGCACACAATAAACTGACAGACAACAGTCAGGTTTCCAGTTAGTAATTCCCTGACATTTTTGTCCAGTGTTTTTTTTCGGATAATCCAGTATTTTTCTAGTAACACTGGGAGTCTATATATTCCATATATACCAAATTTGCCACTTTATTGGAAATGACCACCCGATAAATACTTTCGGGACAATGTATCTTTAATAGAACTCTTTTATTGTATTCTAACAACTATCTGTAAGCTTCACAGTTCTCTGTCAAATTTTAAGATTTCTGTCTCATTTTGTTTATCTCAGTAATCACTTTCACTTTTAGTGTATCATTTTATTTTTCTAAGTCACAAGATGACCTAATTAACCTGACACAACATATCTTTACATAATGTAATTGTTTTATTTTTCAGACAAAATGGAAAAATTTTAAAAACAGTAAAGGTAATTTGAATATATTTTCTGGTCAGATTTATGATACTATATATTAGTATTACTACTGGCAGGTAGAAGCATTTACAGTTAACGATACTTTCCCAGAAAAGTGTTTATCGGGTGTCAAATTTGGTATATATGGAAAGTATAGACACCCAATCTTACTAGAAAAATACTAGATTACCCGAAAAACGCCCGTAGGGCAAGCACTGGGCAAAATTTTTAGGGTACCACTAACTGGCAACCCGATTGTTATCTGGCAGCTTATTGTCTGCCAGCTTAAGTGAGGGAGCGGTTGTTATTTCTTGATCAAATGGTTAGGCAGTTTTGGGAACATTGAGGGGTGTCAACGCACAAAAGATTCTGCAGAAAAAGAAGTTGACAGAAATAATTAAGAATTTACTTTGGCGTCAATATGTATTGTAAATGTACAGTAAGTAATGATAAATACTTTCTGAAAAATGGACTCTCCCACAATGAAGCTAAGTTGACAGACATTGCATCCAACAACAGCTTACTTATAGCTATAGGTATCCCCGGCAAATATAAAGTTTTAAGAGGGAATTGAAGCAAATTTTTGATGGATTGGTTGCTTTGAATATGTTTTTAGTCCAAGTATATCATCAAATCACAAAGTTTGTACGCGGGAATGATCTTTAATGCTACTTATTTCAAAATATATAAAACAAAGGTTAAAATCATTTCTAGTTTATTTATCTGCTGTCAGATCATGATGTGTATTAGAAAATATATTTTCAGAACCAGACTCGTTTCAATAAATCATATCTATCAGTGTTTAGCATTTATAGAAATATTCTATAAGAGATACTAAAAAAATAACCTAGGCCAAATATGATCAAATTCGGGCAATTCTAAGGTTAAGGGGCCATTATCACTTTCAACTTGAAAAATAAAAAGTAATTAATTGGTGTAACATGTTTATTAACAGTGAGCTATTTATCAAAGTTTGCCTACTTAGAAGGAAGCACATTTAACCGTTGAACTCTTTGATAACCACTATGTATATGTATAAATCTTAATGAATTTTATTTGTGATATTATTATTATATATTTCAGAAAGGTTATCATGGAAAGAATTATACCGTATAGCAGTACAGTATCGTCGATTGGTTGATCCAGAACAACCAGTATTTTGGGTTGATACTTTACCCGAACATAACACACCTGATGGAATACGATCTGACGTCAACTTTGTCAGGTGACTAAGTTTGTCTTAATCTGTACGAAACGAAAACTGATACTTTCTTTTAATACAATTAATAGATTAATGCGTTGAATGTGACCAGTCACCAGTTGCATTAATTTACATCAATTTATTCTGTCCAAAGACCTGCAGACAACAAGGTGCTTTTTTATCTCCCCAATATTTCATCTGTGCTCTACAGGTAGACAATCTGTCGTTGGCAAACCAAATGGTTCACTCAATGTGTTTTAAATTGCACACTTTGATAGCCAATATGGTCTGTTTAAGCTCTGGATGAATGCCAATATATTTATCTTTGTATAAACAACTCATCGTCTGGGTAAACGCTTAAATAACATTGCTATAACTATGACAGCGATGGAATTCTCGTGCAGGACATGTAATTTCCAAGCACATTTAGGTAAACTCCCTTCAGTTTGCATTAATTTCGTGTTGTACAATTCAGTTGGATGTGTATTATTTTTTCAAAACAGAAATCATGAATCTTTCTACGTTTCTTTTTATCCCATGGGAGTAAAATGCAAATCCATGTGATGAATTGTATCAATTGGATAAATTTTGATTCAATGAGTTGTACAGAATTCTAAAAACAATATTGTATTTGTATAATTTCAGGGGTTCTGTGGTTAATTTACGTGTAATGCAGTATTTTGATTTAGTGTTTAAATTAGCTAAAACTATGTTAGAACATTACACAGGGTAAGGTAACATAATTTTATGTTTGATTTCATTTGATAGTTTATAAATACAATTGCATATAAACTTGAATGCAATTCTTGTCACTGTGTAGGTTTTAGACACATAATTAGGGTGCCCCACACAGCCAAAATATGCTGTATTGAAAATTGTACACGCCACAGCGAATGTGCACACCTCAGAGACTAGACCCGAACAGATTTCTGGCAAGGAACGCAATGCAAGAATAATCAGCAGTATAGTCAGTGAGGCTATAAATAGCCATCGCACCTGAAATTTTCAACACATCTAGCGACTATTAAAGCCGTAAAAAATCTATTGTTAACGATTCTGAATAACAATAATATTTAGCTGATTCGTTGTTATAACAGCTTTAGAAAATTATGTTCGTTTTGTTGGCCTGCCATGCATGGATCTGTGGATAAACCATTAGAAATGTCAACACTGATTGTTTAATCAATGTCTGACGTTATAGGGTCAAAAGCCGCTTGTACGACCCCTGACACGACCTTCGAGTACAACTTGTGAGATCTTCATGTAGTGTAGGCCATTGAAGGTATAAAAAAACAAAAAATGAAATATAGATGTGTATTTTAATCAGATTGTAAGAATGATTATTATTTCAGTGAAGAAGCTATTATCTATCCAGGTTTACATGAAGATGTGAATAATGCTAAAACATGTGAAGATCTTCTAATGGTTGCTAGAGTAAGTCTTGAGCCCCGTTTATATTTGGCCGCGATAAATTTCGGAACCCTGCCAGACATTCCAAATGTGGAACTCTTCACAGAAAAGTTAATTTCAGTCCCTATGCAAACTACCGAATGAAAACAATTATGACGCTTTATTTAGTTTGGGCTGTCATTTTGACCGAACTGGGGGATCACGTGGCTAAGTGGGTAAGACGCTAGCTCGCTAGCCTGGAGGTCGGGTGTTCAATCCCTGCATTGGCCGAGAAAGTTCATCCAGATTTTCCGGCGTGGTTCTCCCTTGTCAGTGATGCAGGACGGAGGGGCTGACAAGGAAAGCTGTCTAGTCGTTCGGATGGGACGAAAAACTGAGGTCCCGTGTACACATTGGCGTGCACGTTAAAGATCCCTTGGCAGTTGGAATTCGATATAAGAGTAGGCCGTAGTGCCGCTGTCCGGGCAAAATTTCCCTCATAGCACACTGTATGGCGTATGCCCGTCTTCATTAGCCCAGGTTAGGAGCAGAACAGTAGGACGTTAAATCCCATTTCATTTCATTTCATTTCATTTGACCGAACTGATGACAGAACTGTCAAAGTTCTTTGTGGGGGGGGGGGGGGTCATGGTTCATTTCGCGCATGCACAGTAATCCGTACTGAGAACCATTCTCAGATGGATAAAATTTGTAATGTAAATAGAGTTTTGAATGTATTTTAGTTTATCCCAGAAAAATAATGTAGTACCTTAAGAAATGAAGGGACTTGTAATTCAGATCAGGTGGTATATTTTAATGCCATTGGAGTTATTTCCCCTTTTTTAACTATTTTCTCCTATTTTTCTGCAAGATAATTAAATAGTTGTTATTCCTCTTTATAAACCTGTAACGGTAAATCTCTTTGATCTTTGGGGTATATTCTATGCTCATAATAACTTGCGGTCTGAAAATCGGGGGCGGCTTTAAATATATATATATATATACAGGGGAATTTGGGGTTATTCTTCTGAATGTTTTTCTTTAAACCTTTAACGGGTTATTCTTCCAGGGTAGGTTTTTTTTTCCCATAAGAAAACATGATATAAGGTATAATCCTTTAGTGGCATTTAGCAATTGGAAACATAACAAAACTATACAGTTATATGGGACAACAATCACTGGTTTATTATACACAAGCACGACGTTTCGATAAGTATTCTCTTATAATCCTTTAGTGGCATTTAGCAATTGGAAACATAACAAAACTATACAGTTATATGGGACAACAATCACTGGTTTATTATACACAAGCACGACGTTGTGCTTGATAACGATAAGAGAATACTTATCGAAACGTCGTGCTTGTGTATAATAAACCAGTGATTGTTGTCCCATATAACTGTATAGTTTTGTTATGATATAAGGTTTTTCTTACGTGAATTCTGGGATATTCTCATCTTGCGTATATGTAAACATAGACGGTTTATAAGCAAGATAAAGTCCTCGACTTCGGTTATGCTGGGGAAAAAAGACTTCAGAAAAAAACCCTCGACAGAAAAACCTTGGCCTGGGGGCCTCGGTTTTTCTTTTTCTCAGGTTATTTTCTTCAGTCTTTCTTTCCCCAGCATAACCTCAGTCGCGTGCTTTATCCTACACAGATATTCACTAGTTTCTTTTTATTGATATGTTTATATAGAAACGACAGATAAATCCACATGGTTTTCTGGTATCAACACAAGTTCCAAGTACAGCTAAAAGTAAGGAAGATAAGAGACTGGATGGTTCTGTCTTGGTTCTATCTAGAGACCTGTAAGTTGAGCCAAAGTTTATAAAGCATTATTATGGCAATTATTATTATAGATTATGGCCCCTCATTGTTCGAAAAATCACATTTTTAGCTTGTGGATTCTCTAGGGGGTCACAATTTTTTTTCCGATTTTTAAAACCGTTTAAATAGATCCGTAGGGTGACCAAACTTATAGGTTATTCAGGTTCAATCGGCATGCGCAACAAATGTTTCCAACAGGTGCTAGGAATATTTTTAAGACTGTGAATTCGGGGGAAAATTTGTGGATATTCTTGAGTATTTGTCGCAACTGTCGTACAAGAGATTAAAATTATCAAAGTAATCAACAAAGACCCACGGTAGCGAGTTTTAATCTCACAGATAATTGATTGGTGATTGCTTGTTAATCTTTTGCAGCTTCATGCCCATCGAGTTTTAATCTCCCTGATAATTGATTGGTGAGTGTTTGCTTCACACCCACCGATTGAAGGCAGGATATTACGGTGTCGATTCAATGGAAATCATATGACGGGACGGCTGATTGATGTCGTAATCCGGAATAATCAGAGGTCGAATTACCCAGAGACTTTTTGGCTGAAGTAATAAGGAAATAAATCAGGACATGAAAATGGTGTTGGATTTCACAGAGTTCGGAGTGATCAGAGGTCGGATGTGACAGAGTGTACTGTATCACCATTCCACCATAATGATTGTTGAATTCGAATTTCATGAAAATCGAAATGAAACTGCCCGACAAAATGGCCGCTTTTTGTATGCAAATTGTGTATTAGTATGTAATACAAAGGTTATGGACCCTCTAGAGGTCACAATTTTTATTCGATTTTGATGAAAATTAAAACATATCTCAGTCCCATTTGATATTTGCGCATTTCAGACCATAACTTTCTGGATTATGGCCCCAGATTGTACAAAAAATCGTTTTTGTTTTTAGTTTGTTTTCTATCCATCTCTTGCAAAATGTGGGCGTATCCTGCCTGGCAGCCGCTGGTTTTAGTTTGTAGAGCCTTGTGGATCCTCAAACGACCATTATTATAATCTGATCTGTATAAAATTGTCTTGTAAATGCTCCCAGTTGTCTACAAAAAAATATATATGTGACAACCCTTGTCGACCACTCGGACGATTTAGCTGTTGTGGGCGTATGTTTCATTGCCTGGCAACCTATCTTTATACATTGAAATGCAATTTTCATCGAAGACGATAATCAAAAAGATCTTTATAAAAAGCATTGTTACCGAAATGGTCTTGAGTTGTTCATACACATTCCTGCGGAATTATAGACGCAGATCATACATTAAACCACAGTTATCACTGATAATATATAGACGACAAAAAACAAGCAGCCACACACTCTAGGCACTCACACTATTATTCTTTTCACATTCTCGGTACAGAGCTATTGACTAGCTTCAATAAATAGTATCACATAACACAAATTCCCTTTCACTGGAAATGAACATTGATAATTGATTTTAAAGAGCTATAATGCTTGAGGTTGATTGTATTTTATAATGAAGGGAGCCATGTTAGCTTGGTGATTATCGTGTTGGCCTTTTTTCAATCCTGGAGACTCATCTATTGATTCTGATAGGAAGAAAAAACAAGGTCCCCTAACATATGGAAATGAAAAGAAGAGTAAGCTACTACTCTCAGGGCAAAATTTCCCTCATATCACTCTGAATGAGGTCTTTCCTTCTTTATTAGGGAGTTTAGTGCAGCAAAGTAGACATTAAACCCCTTGTTATTTCATTTCTAGATAATGAGTGGTTGATTGAATGGTTGGTTTATTACAGGAATGATAGAGTTGTGTTTGCATTGAATACAGCCAATACAGTTGACAGAACAGCAGATTATTTTCTGGAGTTAGATTTTTTATTTAATCAAATACAGGAAGAAATACGACGTAATGGACCAAATAAAATAACAGTAAGTATTTTTTACTTTATGTCCTGTACAGAAAATACAAACCTTGTCTTAAATTTCAAGGTAAAGATTATAACATTTTGCAAGATCAAAATGGAATGTAAAAAAGGCAAAGGCATTGACCCCAACATCATATAGTGAAGACTGAAGGGTTCAATATATTTGGAACTCACCATAGCTCAACATTATAGTGAAAGAGAGAGAGAGAGAGAAATGGGGTTTAACGTCCACTCGACACAAACTAGGTCATTTCGGGACTAACATATGGTTTAATTTTATTTCAATAATTGGCTTGCGCGTAGGGGTCTTTAGCAGTGGGAGGAAACTGGAGGACCCGGAGAAAACCCACGAGGTTGGACAGGCGACCCTACTCCTTGTCACGTACAACCGGGGAATCGAAACCACGCCAGTTGACTCAACGATAGACTTTATGATACAGCGCACGCACGCTAACCATTCAGCCATCCACCCCCCCTTCATCATTATAGTGAAGCCTCTGTTTTAAAGATCATTTGGCCACTATTCATGTCTGTTTATGATGACTTATCTATCAGTTAATTACAGATATTTCCATAAATTGAATGGTATTTAATTCACAGTGACTGTTAATGTATCTTAATATGAACAAAGGTAGGTTGCTAGGCAACGAAACATACACCCACAGCAGCTAAGTCATCCAAGCAGTCAACAAGAGTTGTCAAATATTTTTTCTATTGTCGGTAATAAAACATTTATAATACACTAAAAGTAACAACTCATTCATTAACCCCTTAACTGTGTAATTAATTTGACGTTAACTACCCCCTATTGCGTAATTAATTTGACGAAAAACGTCATATTTGGGCCTATTTTTTCCTGAATACAAATTTGAGTGGTCTTAAACCAAAATAAAATTAACAGTAAATAGAGTTGTCTCCCTTCAATTAGATTCCTCGACCAGGCGTAATAATACGTCTTTCGCATGGTAAGATTGTGTTCGAAGAATAGGTTGGGGAAAATACCTCCAGGGCGTTATATTACGTCCTACACACGGTGAGTGGCAGTTGTCCAGGACGTTATATAACGTCCTACGCAGTTAAGGGGTTAAGTAATTATCAGAAAATCATTAGAATTTGTTTGGCTTTTAGTTCTGCCCCATGCTAACATTTAGTATACGAAACATTTAATATCATGGATTCAGCTGTTCAAGTTATTAAAAATCATTGAGGCAATATACGACACAGGATATAGATTCTGTGTTGAATATATGAGGTATTGATTATAGTTCTATGATGTATTATTTTACAGGATATAGATTCTGTGTTGAATATAGTTCTATCTATGATGTATTATTTCTATAATCTGATGCCATTAACCAGGGGATCCAGGTAAATACTTAAAAAATATTGTATGCTGTTGTCAAAAGGTCGAAATTACAGTTTAGAGTTTAGTTATTCAGAAAAATATTAACTGCCGCAGTCAGAAAAAAATTATTTTTATATTCAGAAATATATTTATTTTTGCATTCAGAAAATATAAATTTTACATTACAGTATTGTAGCTTATACAGTGGGTCTAGGTTTGATGATGTCAGTAGGTAGACAGGCAACAGGTAGAATACCAAGTGGAAAGGTAAGTTTATTATACGGTATACCTGTAATTATAACTGATAAGTTTGTTTTCTAGGTCAGAGCTCTTCGACAGGTTTTTTAAAATTTGCAGAGATTGTTCATTGTATCAAAAGTAAGAACCCTTTTGAAATTCTAATTTTTTTTTTCCACACAAACTGCAGACTTATCTCCCAGTTTATGTTCAAATGTGTGAAAGTTTGTGAACATGATACAGGACAAAGTCCTTGATGAAATTTTGTAAAATTTGGTGAGATTGTTCATTTGAATAAAACAAAAAGCCCTATGGAATTTTGAGTTTTTCAGAGTTATTTTTTCGGGCTTATATTGACATTTTCCACTTGTAAATGCAATAAAGGACCAAATGCTGGTTGGAATTTTTAAATTCTTGGTGGATTAATTTTGGGCTGAGGAGCAACCCGATCAAAATTCAGAATTATTTTTGTATCCCAAATTGCCATGTTATTCCCTCATTTAACCCATAAGTGCATAGCCATTTTTTGTTCCCAAACCCCTTCGTTCATAAGCCTAATTCCCGGCATTGCGACGGAAATTGGTGCTAAATACAAAAAATGAGGAAAAAAGTATTTTCTGACAATGACAAACCCTACAAAGTATATATATTTAGAAAGAGTATAAAAAGGGCTTTCTGAATCTGTAAAGATAGTAAGGGAAATATTTTTTACGTGAATGTAGGTGGGAGGTAGAATTGACAACTTGAAATCAGGAAAAAAAAAAAAAGGTTCCCACTTCAGAGTGCAATATAAAAAAAATATTTATTGATGCAGAATGTTAGAAATGAAGTATGCTGCTTTCAGAGGCATCTCTTTGGTACACAATACAGAAATTTTTTTTTGAAAATATCAAATAACTTCGGAAAAACCGAAGAAAACCCACGAGGTTAGACAGGTGACATCATCATCCGAGTCACTACTACATTTTGTACACTCGTCAATCCATAGATTATGATCAAACACACAGAACTGCAGCACAAATATCTACGATTTCTACTTTAAGCAAAATACTGGACAAAAAACCGCTATTTTTTGTAAAAAAAAACCCCACAAAAATACACACTCTGTAGCGTAATCCAACTCCCACAGTATTCCGTGGCAACTATGAATGGGATACTGTACAAATCATGTCTTAAATCGGCGAAAATTCGCAAAAAGTTACAGAAATTTTACTCAAAACATTGCCAGGGCGGCTATGCTGGATTTAGACAATGGCGTCCAAAGGGAATTTCCTGTGGAACCGCCTTTAGCGCGGTAAATTCAAACTGTTAAAAACAATACGGGAAAATCCGTAGCCATGCAATTACAGCCTTTGTTTACTCTAGGCCGTAGCCATGCACTTATGGGTTAAGTACAAATTTATGAAATTGTACGGCAATATACATCCACATGAAAATGTGGGTGTATAAAAAAAGAAAATTACAATGAGACAAGCCTTAAAAACTGCTCTTATCACGTTTCATTGCCTGACTACCCGTCATTCCCTCATGTTGTCTGTTTCTCTTTTGGGACAGTGTCTCCGACATCACTGCATGGAAGCAAATTTTAGATATTAATAAGATAAGAATTTTAATGATTGTGTGTGTTTTAATTTGTAGTTATTGGATCTAGAAGCCATGTTAGCTGGGGCACCAGATGCTTTTATACTTGTAACTAAACAGTGGATGAACATAAAGAAGTAAGATATAATATAACATGATAATACTAAGAGCAAAACAACAATATTTTAATTCTAAGATCCTGTGTCGGTATTCAAAGGTTTTCTTAAAGTTAAGTAAAAATACTTAATTTTTCCACTTAACCAAGTGTCTTACCTTAAATCGGTATTCAAAGGCTCTATTTTACATATACTTGGCTATGTGAAAAACATAACTGCACACTTAAAATATGGAATACCAACATTAGCCAAAAAGCATGAATTTTTGAATATGGAATACCCTCTACTTCCAAAAATCATGAATTAAAATATGGAATACCCACTGTTAGCCAAAAAGTATGAATTTTTAACTATGGAATACCCTCCACTGTCAAAAGTCTTGAATTACTCAGGTTGCACGCGAGTTATGTCCCCTTTAGTTGTCATTATTAGGAAAATTTTGGTTGAAATACCATATTGTTGAGCAAAAATGTTGTATTGTCTGGTTAAAATGTTGTGACATCGGGTTGTTGGCCATGCGCCACTCAATATACAGTATGATTATGTACACTGATTCTTGTTACTCCCTGTTGGTAGTGCAGGACGAAGAGCCTGGCAAAGAACAGTGTCTAGTTGTGTAGATGGTACAAAAACACAAGCTGTTGGCGTGCACATAAAAAACACCTTCACAGTTGAAATTTGATGTAGAAATGCCACTGTCTTTTGAAAATTTCCATCATAACACTCAGCTTAGCGTATGCCTATCTTCAATAGTCCGATTGGTACAGAAATGTAGAAAAATAAAATGAAATGGGGTTTAACGTTCTACTGTTCTGCTCCGTCTGGGCTAATGAAGACGGGCATACGCTATACAGTGTGCTACTTTTCTATTGAATTCCAACTGTCTGGGAGTCTTTTACATGCACGCCAATATGTACATGACACATCGTGGTTTTTTTTGTCCCATCCGAATGAAAATACGTTATTCCTTGCCAGTCCAACTGTCGAAGAGGAATCGTGAACGACGACATGATACCAGTCAGCCACCTTATCAAAGCTGATAAAAGAAAGTTTGAGATCAACAACGCCGGGCAACATTTTCTTTGTTTCAATCTCAATCCCGTAACGGGCCTGCTACTCCGGTTAAAAAAATAGTCATTATAATTTTGCTTAACTTTAAGGTACCTCCCATAGGTCACTTAAAGCAGATTTTTCTCACCTAAACTGGCCTTTGAATACCACTAAAAGACTAAAGCTTAACTTTAAGGGAAAATTTGATACTTAACATTGCCCTTAAGGTTTTCATTTATTTTAATGGTATGATTTTATTTTTTTCAGAAATAATACATCTACATTGAATTTACCACTGGTGAATGAAGTGTTCCCTACAGTAAGAAGTGTATTAGAAGTTTTAACTGTCGACATATCAACCTGTTCCTAATAATAAACATTATACACTCAATATTTTATTATTTATTAAAGAGATGTTATGGTGAATTTTAATTTATTTTATGATGAAGGCTTTAAGACACACTTATTTTCACTCTTCAATATGTTAACTGATTCTCTAGTTGATTAATAACATAACATTTCTAATGGACATCTTATTAAGATTTATATTTAAAGAGAAATTACAAAACCATTTAGTCAAAGAGTTACTTTTACCAAGAAATGGCTGTTCTTCAAAATGATATCTGAAATTTGATATCACAGGTGGTTATAATATCTAGTATTATATCTGTGGATATATAGCAAACTGAAATTAAATAGACTTATATACTTCTTAAGCTTCATTTCAACTATTTGGATTGTATGGTTAAAAAAAGATCTGCTTATTTTTTTAAAGAGGCAATGTGACAGAAACCCCAATGACAATTTTGTTTTTTGAATTAAACAAAAGTAATTGTTTATTAGTGAATAATTTAATTGTACTGTCTTGATGGTGTCATTGTTTGTGTTTTGTGGTTCAGTTAATCTGCAAAGTCTTAATCTGCAAAGGATAAAAAGGTGGAAATCAATGGACACAATTCAGAAATATTTCAAATTGAGTATTGCGATGACAGCATAAAATCTTTAGAAACCCATGTCAGCTTCCAGTGATCTTTTGAAAAGGATTTTTTTGATTAGTAATTGTATAGCCTTAAACTGTATTTGATTTTCTTTTATTGATGTGTTGTCTTTAAAATACACCATAGTGTCTCTTTAATCTTTATTAAATGGCCCATTTTTGTACGCCCACATTTCATGTGGACGAAATTGTCTTCGCCTCTGTCCGTGTGGATGTCTGTTCACCATTTTGTTTGTGGTTCCGGTTATTTTGGCATGTATCGGACTGTAACTCCATGGATTATAGCCCCGGATTGTACGAAAAATCACATTTTTAGCTTGTGGACAATCTAGGGGTTATAATTTTTATCCAGTTTTGGTTAAACTTGAAATTAATGTTTATAACCCATATTGGTGCATATTGGACTGTAACTTCCTGGATTATGACCCCTGATTGTTTGTAAAATGGTGATTTTAGCTTGTGGACCCTATAATTGTCAATTTTTTCAGATTTTAAAAAATGTTCAAATATATCACTGTTACATGCTAATGACGTTTGAGATTGAAAATATGCTCGTCTGACCTAGGCTTAAGAGATCACATTTATTATCCAATTTTAATGAAGCTTAAAATATATCTGTGTATCCCAGAGATCTAGGTTATTGGCGCATGTTTGACACTAAACTTCCTGAATTATGGCCCCGGATGTACAAAAAATTATGTGTGGGGGTGTTTTTTAGCTCGCTCTTTGTCCATCTAGTGCAAAATGTGGGCATATCTTGCAAGGCAACCCACTTGTTACATTATTGGATCAAGATGATCATTCCTTTTGATATTTCCCACCAGGACTATATTACTATACTATGTATATGCAGTACTTAAATATATTTAATTTTATTGACAAAACAATTCTACTGACTAATAATGTTTATTGAATGTTTACAGTAAAAAGTTGTATACTCTTGACATCTGAAAAAACGGAGCTCATCTGAAGAGTCGAAGTGTATGGCAGCTAATCTGGGCCCTGTTTCTCGAAATCTTAACTAAAGATAAAATCCAAATTTTAGTAGATACTTCAATTTTGATTGGCTAAGCACTAAAACCAATCTTTAATTATCCAATTAAATTACTAAAATTTGGATTTTATCTTAGTTAGAATTTTGTGAAACAGGTCCCAGATTTATAACCAAACAATTAATATTATTTTAAAATAAAAGATATTGCTTGATTTTTTGTGGGAGTGACAAAGTGTAGCTGCAAAACCAATAGGTTTTTGAGTTTGATTTTGAAAAAAGTTTATTTTGTTACATGTATATATTTGTTAATTCTAAAAGCCATATTACAGCTACAACCTTTGTAATTGTTATTTTATATTAAATAAATTTATCAATAAACAGATATTTGGACTAAATACATATTCAAACTAATTTATCTATCAAACATTTGCTTCAAATCACTCTCAAAAGTTTCTAATTGGAAAAAACTACGTAATGCTGTAAAAATGTAATTTACGCAGACTTGTTTGTCATGTAACTTGATTGAGGGAGGGGCCATTTACTGTTTGTATTTGTGGTTACTTGTTGTCACTTTACCATACATATCGAAGCTTAAGTAATTTATTGGATATTCTCCATCCTCTTTTTCCTGCTGTTTAATCGCAGAATCGGTTGAATGTGTAAACCCCTCACTGTTCCCAGAATGGCTAACCATTCGCTCAAGAAATAACAAGGGCTCTCCAAGTCAAGCTGACAGATGATAATTAGCCATTAGGTTACCCTGACATTTTTGGCCATTGCTTATGCTTGCCCCTCGAGTGTTTTTATATGCCCACATTTTGATGTGGACGTGTATTGTCGTCACCCCAGTTCGTCCGTCTGGGTATCTGTACACATTTTGTTTGTGGACACTACGGGTCACAATTTTTATCGGATTTTAACGAAACTTCAAATATGGGTGTGTCTCCCAAAGAACTCGATTCCTTTCGAAATTGGCATGTATCGGACTGTAACTTCACGGATTATGGCCCCAGATTGTACGAAAAATCACATTTTTAGCTTGTGGACACTCTAGAGGTCATAATTTTTATCCGATTTCATGACCAAAGATCACAGTTCCTTTTGATATTGCACATATCGGACTCTAACTTCCTGGATTATGGCCCCTGATTGTACTAAAAATCACGTTTTTAGCTTGTGGATTCTCTAAAGGTCACAATTATTATCCGATTAAAAAAAAACATTTGGGTATATCACGGCAAAACCATGATGTCGGTTGTTCGAATTTCGTGACAATCGGACAAAAACTGCCGGACAAAATGACCGCTCCTCGAACGCAAATAGTGTGTCATATCAATTGTGGACCCAATAGAGGTCACAATTTTGATGAAACTTTAAATTTATGTTTATATCACAATAAGATCTTTTTGTTTTCTCGATAATCACTTTTCGAACGTAACTTATTGATAGAAAAATCACAATTTTAGCTTGTGGGCCTTCTAGAAGTCACAATTTGGATTCTATTTTAAAAAAACGTTTAATTATATCACCCTTACACATCCATGATGATTGAGGTTGAATTTCATAAAAATCTGACCGAAACTGCCAGACTAAATGGCCGCTTCTATTAGAAGTCACAACTGTTATCCGATCTTGATGAAACTTAAAATATGTTTATATCCAAAACATCTCATTTCCTTTCGATATTCATGTATATCGGGCCATAACTTGATTACGGTCTCTGGTTGTAAAAGAAATAGTGTTTTTATACGCCCACATTGAAATGTGGCTGTATATTGTCGTCGCCCCCGAACGGTCGGTCCGACGGTCTGGTGTCCACAATTGCTTGTGGACGCTCTAGAGGCTAAAGTTAATATCCAATTGACTTTAAATTTATACACAGTGTTTACGGTCATGAGACGAAGAATCCTATTGATTTTCAACGATTTCCGATAATTACTGCCAAAGTTATGGCCCTTGATCCCTTAGAAAAATCTTGTGACGCTCTAGAGGCTAACGTTATCATCCGATTGACTTCAGATTGATACACAGAGTTTAAGGTCTTGAGACGAACAAGTATATTTATTTTCAATGAATTTTGATAACTTGAACAGCTAAATTCATGATATTAAATGTTTCGTATACCAAACGTTAACATGGGGCAGAACTGTATGAAAACCAAACAAATTCTAATGATTTTCTGATAATTACTTAATGAGTTGTTACTCTTAATCAGATTTTAGTGTATTATAAATGTTTCATTACCGTAAAAATATGCGACAACTCTTGTTGACTGCACGGACGATTTAACTGCTGTGGGCATATGTTTCGTTGCCTGACAACCTATCTTTGTCTAGCTTGTTCTCTCTCCATCTCTTGCAATATATGGGCGTATCTTGCCTGGCAACCACCGGTTTAGAGAATCCAGTATTTTTCTAGTAAAACTGCGCGTCTCTACTTTCCATATACATGTATACCAAATTTGCAATACTTTTATTGGAAATACCCAGCCAATAAATATTTTTGTGGGAATGTATCTTTAATTGCGAAACACTGTGGTTCTCCATTTAAATTTTTTACCATGTTTGTCTTTTTAAGTAATAAATTTAAATCTGGGAGAATGCTATATTTTTTCACTGTTTTTTTTTTTAATACCATCTTGGCAGAATCATGGTGAGTAATATATTCTAAGTATATTTTCCATCATAAATTGTATGTAGGCCCTTCTTTTTTCTCTGGAGATTTTAGAATGAGATTGTATGCAACAGTTAAAGACAAGTCATACTTTCAGATTTTTTAATTGATTTTCCAGGAATTATATTAAACTGTATACTAAATATTCTTACTATAATATTTAGCTACGAGAACGTAGCTAAAAACGTTAAGAGATAAGGTTTGTTATTAATACTTCTTGTTTTTTTCTTTCTTGTTCTCACTTTATCATACGACAGTACAGTATAGCCAGCATACCTGTGGGTGGTGGGAATTATGCGGTTGGTTGTTTTTGTATTACAGAAGGCGATCCTCAATTGATATCGAATTGGCAAATGACGTCAATAAGTGTATGTTTGAGACGTCAATCTTCATGAAGAATTTCGCCAAAGATAGGATTTCTGCCCCCAATGACAAAATAAGAGACAAAAACCAAAAAATGACAACCATAGCCACTGGGGACGTATGTTTCATGCCTATCGCAAATCGAGATTATAATATCTATGCAGTTTCACAGTAAATATATATTGATATAAACAATAAACTTTATTTATATTTTGACAAAATTTTCTTGTGTTGTTTTATTAATTTAATGTTATTTAATAATGTGTTCAGATAGAAACAAACCTGGTGTAACTGGATGGGCTGTTTATTGTCGTCAAACTGTCCGTCTATCGCACTCACCAACTTCTTAATACCTTTGAGGATCAAAGGTTTTTAGACTTTTTTTTGTGCTGGCTTTTTGCGACTTGGTCATACAAAACTACTGAAAATCAGATTTATGTGTTGATTATTCGCGGTTTTCCCTGCCTTCAAGTCTTTATAAACACACTTGACTACACGTATCACTTTTCGTGGTTTCATTTTCTTACATGGGTTTGTTTAGCTGGCCATAGATCAGAATCCTATGAAAAGTTATTTTGTGATGTTTATCAAAAGTTTGTATAACACGCTACAGTTCCAAGGTCGGGAGAAACTTAAAAACCTCCAGATAATGAAAACATTAAAACAAGTGCTAGTTAAGGAGGTAGGTTTTGTTTTCCAAATAGTTAATTTAGATGGCCATAACTTGAGTTTAAAGATATTTAGCTTTTTGGTTATTAGAGTTGCTTTAGAAATTACGTTCGTTTTATTTTTTAAATTGCTTTATCATTAACTATACCATTAGGAGCGGCATCTTTTGGTTTAGTACAAACAATATCTCTGAAACACTAGGGTTAGGCAAGAACATGATACTAAAACAATTGTTGAGTTGCCTAACGTGTGTGTTTCTAAACTCAATTTCTTGTTCCAGCTTTCTGTTATGGTTCGTAAAAAAAGTAGTCGTGATTAACCCGGCCTGTCAATCAGACAAAGAATGGTCAGTAGACTGGTTAAGCGAGACTAATTTTAAAACAAGGGCACGTACCCTACTTTTTACCCAAAAGTGTCCGGATGTTATGACCGACACTCGTAACCATTTTTCAGTCTATTTTATGGATGGTTAAATGGTCATAGCTTATTAAGTACAACATGACCGTTTATTTAGAGATTATAATTGTGCGAAACTGATTTAAGGCTTGGTATATATATAAATGCTGTGGTGTAATTGTCGAGATATTTATTTATGGTGGGGCACCCTACCATAGTGCCGCTGCCCGGGCAAAATTTCCCTCATAGCACACTGTATGCGGATGCCCGTCTTCATTAGCCCAGTCCGAGCTCAACAGTAGGAATTTAAACCCCATTTCATTTCATAACTTGCATGATGGGGATTTAATAATACCAATTTTTCCGCAACACCCTATTTAATTTGTATATCGTTGTCAGTTAATGATATACTACATAACGGATAACAAATTTACCTCGGACAAAAGCAATGCCTTATCATACGGCTGAGAGGAACACGAAAACCTTGCACGTGCAAGGAAATCATTCCTGAAACGACGACCCTTAAACCCGTGTTATGACCTCTGTCGATAAAAGATAAGAAGCATGCAGATGTTAAATGTCTAGCGGGCATATAAAATACGAATAAGTAAACCAATTGTTTTTTATCTTTTTATTCGTTTTCTAAGGGATAGCATTACACGATATATCATAATATACACGTTCGGGTTCCTCACATTATTTTGGCCAAGAAGAATGAAAATATTAAGATGACCCTTGACTTTACCCTTTATGATTTTTCGTTCTACAGTAGGTTTTTTTTTATACGCCCACAATTTGTTTGTTGTCACACTTCTTATCCGATTTTGACGAAGCTTGAAATATAGATTTATCTCCTAAGGATCTCGGTTCCTTTCGATATTAGCATACGTATCGGATCGAAACTTCATGGATTATAGCCCGAACGAAAACTCACGTTTTTAGCTTGTGGACCCTCTAGAGGTCACAATTTTTATCCGATTTAGATGAAACCTAAAATGTATGTTTATAACCCAAAGATTTCGGTTCCTTTCGATATTTGCGCATAAAAGAACCCCAACTTACTGGATTATGGCCCCGTTCAAATATACCGTTACACCATAATGATGATTGAGTTTCAATTTCGTGAAAATCGGACCGAAACTGCCCGACTAAATGGTCGCTCCTCATACACAAATAGTGTAACATCATTATCAAGATTGTGGACCCTCTAGAGGCCACAATTTTGATCCGATTTTGATGAAACTTTAAATTTATGTATATATCACAATTAAAGGTGTTT